AACAGAAAAAACGACTCCGGTCCTCTGCACTCCGTACGGAACACGCTGCTGTTTTACACTGGTATTCTGTGAGAGCTCGATCCTTTCCCGGACGAGCCAAACCATTCCCTGACATAACACATATAGCTGCAGCGTGACTCTACCACGTTAGAGACTTCTAGAAACATAAGGTGTTCTATGTCCTTGTAAATAGTAATAAATAGTTTGAACATAGATTTTGTCTTTGATAATCGTCCTCTATAAATCAGATGAGTAATTTTAGGATTTGTAAGTAAACTAAGTACTCAATATTTGAAGTACCCGCCTAATTCGTGACCTCTTTTAGCTAAAGATTACGGTTGTAATTACTTAAACAAAAACTCAAAAAGTGATTTCTGATTTTGATTAATCTTATTTCTTAAATTAGGAAAACTGCCACAAATCAATGCTAAATGAGGGATATTTCTCTAAACGAAATTTTCTCATCCTAAACCTAAATTTAAGATACTATGGTTAAAATTTTCTAAAGTCTACAAGCTTGTAAAGACATTTATAATGTGTACTGCTAATCGCGGCGATCCGTCCTTCATCAGTAGTGCCAAGGGCGTGGGAGCGCCGCACAGTGCAAAAAGTACCTTAGGAATGCGAAGCATAGAGGCTTGCGAAGTTCTTGCCACCTTGCCCGCCTTAAATTACGAATAACTTTAAAACGACCGAACCGGATAGTAAACCGCAAAAAACCAGGGGCATGTTATTTAAGTTCTATGTCTGCTCATAAAGAACAATGGCGAAAAAATTGTAGATGGAATTAATAAGCGCCTACTTATGTTATAGATACCAATACAAGATAAAAAATTTAAAAAATTGCGCAACCGATTTCAATATAAAAAAATGAGAACAACATCAATGTAGGCGAAGTCAATTAAATACGCATTATTAAGGATAACTCAAAAATTACTGGTCATCATCAAATTTATATGATACCACATGAGAAGCACCAGCTTCTAAATAAAAAAAAAGAATCATCAAAATCGGTTCACGAAGAAAAAATTTCTGAGGTAACTTTTTTTGAAGTCGGTTAAATATAATTTACTATGTTTTGTCTAAAGTTTGGAGTAAAATCATCATACATATTTAAAAACGAATCGGCTAGTTGTTGTCATTGTTGTTGTTGTTAGGATGCGCCAATTAAGTCTGTTTTTATTCAAACTGGAATATTTTTAGTTCCTGACTTCCTCCTAATACAATTTCTTGTTCGTGTGTGGGAGGGGGTAAGTAGTACGTTACAGGCTATTCCGACCAGCATTTTTAAATCATGGCAGCTGACATAGACGCCGGCAGCCACGCCCCTCGGGCAATGCAATCAACTTCTATTGGCATAAGAAGCCAAACGCTGTAGTTAGTTGGTGATTCTTTTACATGTTCAACATTGAACATACCTTATGATCCTAATCCAGATACATCTAGGCTCCTTCCTAACGACGCTTTATAACCGTTGGCTTAGAGCACCCTCACAGTGCCCTACAAGTGAATACATAAGCATCGTCTATCTCACATGGAGTATACAATTATAGATAAAGAATTACTCACTCGCATGCTGTTGACCGTCCAAACTTGTTCAAGGCCAAATGAAAATCAGCGCTGCAAGCTTGTAGCTTATGCTGAGACGGTCTCTTCCACATCTTGATCCTAGCACACGATTTTTGTTTTAATAAATATGTGTGTATGTGTGTTTGCATACACATCTTCTATACATATAATAAAACTGTAAATAGCAGATGTCTGTACATTTTATATTTTTGTAATAAAAGTGATTGAGGGGTACTAAAAATAAGTAATTAAATACATTTCTACCATTTTTAGAATTTTCTGTCTGTCTGTCTGTCTGTTTGTTTGTTAACGTATCACGTATAAAGTACTAATTTATATCATAAGAATTGTTAAGGAAATTATAAAGTGTATCTTCGGGTTACATTTAGTCTTTATTTCATTAAAATCAGTTCATTCCATCAAAAGTTATGATAAATATTCTGAAGTATGGGTAGGGAAGTATAGGTACGAATTTGCTCAACGGTGGCTTTGTTTGAGTCATCAAGTGCATTTTAAACTAATATCATATCATAAATCATAGTTAAATTATGTAAAATAATGATATAATTATGTATATCTAAAACGCAGTAAACAAAAGTAATAAAGAACGTATTAAATATATTATACAAAAATATATTAACGTTATTAACTAAATCTGAAGCACAATAGTTAACCCATTTCTTCGATAGATGGTGGTGTTGTGAAAATGTAATGCAATTGCAAATGTCGTTTTTACCTGTAGATGAGTTTCATATTTACTGCTAATCTTTATTATATTACTCGCTGCCCTACTGCGTGTTGACAAACTCAATTTGTTCTTTACCGCCGAGTACTCTATGTGGTAAATCAAATTTTAAAAGAGCTATTAACCATTGCATTGGTTTTGGCGAGAGTCAAACTTTATTTTTTGCTTACTGTGCAGGCACTGATTTATAAGCTCTCTTACGTTTTATATAATGTATCAATCGCGTTAATTAATCTCTTTTATTTTTAGAATTGATGATGTTAGCAGCGCCATCTCTCTTTAAATATATACATATAATAGTCTCTTTCTGTACATTGTATATATATTTTGGTGGCTAAAATCATTATGATGAACTGAAAATAATTAAATAAGAACATTTTATAATTTTTAGAATTGTCTGTCTGTCTATTTGTCTGTTATTATATGAACGCATCACGTCTAAAGTAAACATCTTTTATTTTCAAAGAAATCGTTAAGAATATCATAAAGCGTATCTTCGAGTTACATTTAATCTTTGTTTTATTAAAATTGGTTAATTATATCGAAAGTAATGATTATTATTTTGAAATGTAGGTTCGAATTTGTTCAATGGCGCCATAAAATCTCAGAAATAGTAATAAAAAGATTTCTGTGTAAAAAAAAACGTTCCATAATAATTAATATATTTATACTTACTAACACAAAAAGAGATAGGATGTTTTCTCACACAAAGGACGTAATAGATGGAGTTGTACAAATTACAAACTTTTCTGAATTGCAGTGTTGAGATTTTTCGCCGATGAATCGTATTGAGACTTACTGAAGAAATTTGTATCCAACAAAGCCGTACACCGTAACCAGACCAAAAATAAAAATTTCGCAACTAAATGTCGCGATATTGTATTTATAATATACGCAAAATCAGAACTGCCATTTTAGCGCTTTGGGAACTAGATTTAGCACTTTTTTGGAATGTATAGCGCGCATTTCGAAATTTTAGCACCTAGCGCTTAATCCAGCGCTTTTTGGTGTATTTAGCACACATTTCAATATTTTAGCGACTAGCGGGTTATTAACTCTTTTATAGCAGCACTGTTAGTCCACATTACCGATAATAATAATAATGACCTTTATTATTTTTTCCCACAAATAGTACATTGCAGTTTATCTTTTTCAAACATATTTTTTCCACAAAACAAAGAGCATGGGAGACGAGTCCAAACTAGGATACCCTGTGCTATGGATCTCCTGGCTTCCCCTTTAGAATGATCAACTTGATTTTTTTACCGACAACTATAAGCGGGGAAATCCCCTTTATTAAAGTTTTCGTTCATGGTTTTGGCAACGCATTTATTATGCTTTATTCAGTTTCAGTCAGTTGCTTAGAGCACAGCTAAGTTAAAAGTTACTTAGAAGTTATAACACAAAGAAACTGTGTAGCAACCGCAATCAGATGCTGACATCTGAAACTAAGTTGCGAAATACATTGCACTTTAAAACAATTAATGACATTTTTATTGTTCGTACAGTACTAACTACTGTTGACAGCAATTGCTATAATTATAAGTCGATGTCCTGCGAAGTATTGATACATCAAAAAAATATTGCCAGAAAAAAAACTTAATGTTGTTTTCTTTATTATGATTATATAAAAAAACACAAACTTTGTTTGTAGTTAATTTAGCGCGAAATCTAGGGCTTTTTTAAAGCGCTGTTTTCATGAAATCTAGCGCTTTTTGTGTTGTCCTAGAGCTGAATGAGTTTTTTTTATCTGGCAGCACTGCCCAAAAACCCTCTATTAAGATGTAACTTTCCTTTCAGTTTTAAGCGCGTTCAGTTCCCAGTTACAGTGAATGTGTGTTATGCGATGACCGTAAATAAAGCGCAAGGTCAAACTTTACGCGTTGTAGGAGTATACCTCAGTACTGACTGTTTTGCACATGGCCAACTCTATGTTGCTTTTTCCCGCGTTAGTAGCCCCCGTAACCTTTTTGTGTATACCCCGGCTAAGCCTACTTCTAACGTCGTTTACACAGAAGCTCTATCATAAACGACTTAGAACTTTGATGATAATGATTTTTTTTTACCACTTATTGATACAGTAATGAAATAAATCGTTTAATATTCTCTTACCTAAACGACAAATTCTTTATGTAAAACCTGTATACGCGAGCTACGCCGCGGGCACAGCTAGTAAAATAATATGTGCACTTCTTTTTTTCTGTTTCTCTTTTTCTTAATAAGAAATTTTATCAAAACGAGGTAGAGCCATGCTACAGCTACATTATGGTTGTAGCACGAATGGGTCGGCTCGATTGGGGAAGGAACACGTTTTTACAGAATACCAGCGTAAAATAGCAGCTTAATACTGCTTTGTTTCGTATGGTGTGTGTAGAGAACCGGAAACATTTTTCACTGGAAACGAAGCACTCCATTTTAGTCCTCACGGGTGACAACGCATTTGCATTTTGATTCGCAAACGAAGATAGATGAAGATGTCTATGGGCCACAGCAACCACTTACCATCAGGTGGACTGCGTGCTCGTTTGTCACCCTTATTCTATTAAAAAACTTACCATCAGGTGGGCTGTGCGCTTGTCATCCTTATTCTATAAAAAAATGTGTCATGTGCATATATGTAAGTGTTGGAATCAATGTTTATGTGTCTTATGTGTATGGTATATCAAGTAGTTGTTGTTATACGCAGTGGCGGTACGCGAGGTGGGACGAGCGATGTGCCACGATGCTGGGCGCAGTGCTGGGCTGGCTATGCGCCGGCGGGCTGGTGTTGGCCTTGCTGGCCTACGGCGAGATCACGGCTCTCTTCGTGCAGCGTCACCGTGCCGAAGAACCAGCATCAGACTCCTACCTGTTACAACTCTTCGGCGGTGGGCGCTGGCTGTACGTTCTTATTGCCTCTTTATACCGCTAATACTCCGGGAGTTTGTATATATATTTAACTATTTCCTTGTTAACTATAACATAAACCACCTAATGAATTTTAAAGCGTTAAGTGCCCTTAGGGTCGCGTCAAAAGTCCAAGTGTAAAAAAAAAACATGAAAAAAATACGACGCTAGTAAAACGTACGGACGGTACTTGCTTAAAGTGCACTCGATCCATGCCATTTTATTATAATTTAAAGTGAAAAATTTTGTACAACCGATTTCAATATAAATTATTAAGAATCACTCAAAAACCATTGGTCAGACCTTGATAAAATTTATATGGGACTACATGATAAGCACCAGCTTTCAAATAAAAAAGAATCATCGAATTCGGTTCACCAAGAAAAAGTTATGAGGTAACACACATTTACACCGTCTCTTTTTTAAAGTCGGTAGAAAACATAATTGCTTGATTATAAAATTAGTCTATTTCAAACAAAAGCCTAAAATAGCAGCTTAACGCTGCTGTGTTTCGTGTGGTGAGTGTAGAGAACCGGAGAACCATAATACTGAAAATGAGGCATTCCATCTTAGACCTTAAGGTGTCAATGCATCCGCATTTTGATTCTTCATCATCATCATGATTACAGCCAAATTGCAATCGCTGATTTTAACCTTTACTACCAACAATCATCATCTTTATCATCATTACAGCCCTTCACAAGTCCACTCCTGAACATAGGCCTCCCCCAAGGAATGCCACAAAGCACGGTCCTGAGTCACCTGCATCCATTGACTTCCTGCATGTCTTACTAGGTCGTCATTCTATCTAGCGACGGGTCGCCCTACACTTCGCCTACCGGTACGAGGCTGCCACTCGAGAACCATTATTTCCCATCGGTTGTCGGTTTTTCGAGCTATATGGCCGGCCCATTACCACTTCAGCTTACTAATCCGTTGGGCTGCGTTGGGCTATGTCGATTACTCTGGTTCTACTGTATTCTCGTTTATAAGTATTTTTGATTCTTAATTGAAGTTATATGTAGGTGTCTATCGGTCACAGCATCCACTTACCATCAGGTGGACTATGTACTCGTTTGTCACCTTAATTCTTTTAAAAAAATACATTAGTGAAGTCGTAGCTTTTACGTTTATTATTAACACAATTTTCTTGCACTCGCAGACCTAACGGCGAACGTCCGCAACACATGGACGCGCTAGTGGAGGACTCGTTGGCGTTCGCGTGGGCCAGCGTCGCCATCATGGTAGCACAGCTGGCGGCCGCCACTGCTGCCGTCACGCTCTGCAACCATGCTGCTGCCAGAATGGTACGAATTCTTTAACTATTATAGAAATAGAATTTTTTTATCCAATATAGATTATAAATAGCTTTTTCATAGTCGGTAGAGCCACGCTGCAGCTACATTATAGTGCTATAGCACTAATTTGGCGGCTCGACCGGGGTAAGAGCACGCTCCCACACAATACCAGCGTAAAATACGAGTAGCAGATTAATGCTACTGTCGGTTCGAAAACTCTTCGAAACTCTGTCCTGGGAAGAACCAGCAAGAAATCAAGGGAGACTTCTTTTTTGAAAAAAAAAGAACAGTTTACAATCATTAGAGTTACATAATTATTAACAACAAAAAATTGTAAATAGCATGTCATAGCATCACCTCATTCCCAGGGGTTATTATCATCCATAAATTCCTTAATAATAACCCTTTCTTAAACAAAGATTGTATATCTTTGTTTAATAAAGTTTTTAAACTTGGTGGAAGTCAGATTTTGTATATTTTGTAGGATTTTGTTGTAAAAGCGTGTACATCGTATACACTGTATCATATGATACTTTAAGAAGCTTCGAACATATCATAAGAACCAGACACCCCTAGTTCCTGAAAACGAGGAATTTCATCTTGGGCCTCAGAGGCAACAACGCTTCTGCATTTCGATTCTTAATCGAGGTTAGATATAGAAGTCTATGACACTGCATCCACGTACCATCGAGTGGACTACTGTACTGTGCTCGTTTGTCTCTCTATACATCTATACAAATAAATACTTAGTCGGGTCATAAGTTCTGTCAAAAACTTTTTATAAAATTAATGATACACTTTTTGATAATTATATAGAAATTATATAAGAAATGAAAAGGTAATTTAATTTAGAATACAATTTTATTTACATTATTCAAAATGCCCTCCTCTATTTTGAATACATGCCCTTAATCGACGCAGCCAATCATCAATCGCAGCACGCACCACATTCATATCTATTTCTGCCGCTGCTTTAGCTAAAGATGCTCGGAGAGATTCCAAATTCTGATGAGGTTTAGCACAGACTTTCTACTCCAAATGTTGCCATATCTTGTAATCCAGTAGGTCTAAATCTGGAATAGAAAAGGGCCTGGCTTCATGTCCGATAAAGTCAATTCCACGGGCGGTCAACCAGTTTTGAGTGCTTCGTTTCATATGAGCTGGTGCAGAGTCCTGTTGGAATATCCAATGTCTGTTTTTGAACACTGTTTGAGAAAGAGGCTCCACTATGTTTGTTAGGACTGTATTTTGGTACACCTCGACATTGGTTTTTACACCTTTTTCACAGAAAAGCACCTCAGTTAAGCCTGAATATGAGACTCCAAGCCAAACCATGAGTGACGAAAAATAATGTCCTCGTTGAATCCTCTGAATACGCGTGCTGACTTCTTCACTGCTGTGGGCATACACCTTATCATTTTGTTTGTTATAACTTTCTTCGATGTTAAAAATTTTCAGCAGTAACCCAAATTTTGTGGCCTATTTTTCCCGCGTACCATCATAACAAAGCGCAGGATCGATCCAGCTTAATTTATTTCAAACGCTCGTTCAAAAAATGACCGGTCTTCTTGCGATAAGCTCGTAGTCTTAGGTCTTCATTGATCACTCTTTTAACCGTGGTTCTGCTTAGGCCCATCTGAAGAGATAATATTTTTTGTTTACGAATAGGATTTCGTTGGATTCGCGCCTTCATTGTTTGATGATCGCGGGTGTCCTAATTGTACGAGGTCGGCCGGTCCTCTTACGATCTTCGAAGCTTGAACCTTCAGTGAATTGTTTGATAGTGCGACAAACAAATCGTATTTATGGTTATTTTTATTTTTGTAGAATATTGAAAACCACAGCAGTGCAACCTGATAACCGCTACTCTATCTTCTTTCTTCGACCACTCCATATTTGAAAATGAATAAAAATTAATGTCTTTTTTATTTTCGGCAAGCGCAAACGTTATATTTTTAAAATTGGTGAAGTTCATCTAGCCAATATTCAGAAATTTCAAATAATAAGGTTTTGACAAAACTTATGACCCGACTAAGTAAAATTGGAGTATCTGTTTGTAATGTCCAAATAACAGCAACACAACTTTTTACTAAATACATATGAAAGTATATACGGTACTTATAACAAAAACACAATTTTAAATTTTTTTATCTGTCTGTCTGTCCGTTTGTTCCGGCTAATCTCCGAAACGGCTGGACCGATTTTGACGGGACTTTCACTAGCAGATAGTTAATGTTATAACGAGTAACTTAGACTATTTTTACTCTAGAAAAGGAATTAGAGTCCCGTGTAAATTAAAACCCATAAAATCCAATCGTAATAAATTCCATGCGAGCGTAGTCGCAGGGAACAGCTGCATTCGTCATTCATCCGATTACGATGATGCTTTTGTGAGGTGTTGTGTATGTTACCGCTACCGTTTCATGCTATTAAAGTTAACTGGTGGACATGGGCCTCCTCCCGTAGTTTGGCTCATAGGGGAGATGTTTGCCCTAGTTACCACGTTTGGCAAGCGGATAGGCAATCGCAATTTTTAATTTTTAGTTGTTATTAGGAAGACGCTGCTGCCCATCTCCTGATTTTCAGAATGCACCATGATATAAAGGTGTGTGTTGGTTGCAGATAGCTCGACTGCGCTGGCGGTTGCTGCGCGCAGTGCTCAGCCAGGAAATTGCGTTCTTCGACACCAACACCACCATGAACTTCGCCGCCTCGCTCACCGAGTAAGAGATTTACTTCCATCTTTAATTCTTGAATATTACGAATTATATAATTTTGATTTTATTTTTTACTTTACACAAGTTAAATTAACAGACTTTAAACAAGGAGAGTTTCAGTCACAGTAGTTTAATGTCGAATTATGTCCTGTTTGGTTTATACTCGTATTCTTCTTGTGTGTAGAATACCTGCTTTACACACAAAAACAATATAAGCCAAACTGGAAAACTGTCAACGCGTTACATACTCAGATATCATTGTGCATGTCAAATATATTTATTATAAAGCATGAATATTTTACCGCTACATCATTTTTTTAAATGATGATGTATACGACGGGAAAAATACGACATTATGCGACCATTTTGGCACTTATCAATAAATTGTACTTCAGCTCCGTGACTAAGACAAAACTGTTGTTACAGAGAGACGGAGAAGCTGCGGCAGGGCGTGGGCGAGCAGGTAGCGATGATCTCGTACTTGGCTGGCTCCGTGACTCTGAGCTGCGCTTTAGCATTGTCGTACGGCTGGCAGCTCACGCTGGCAGCCCTGGCGCTCGTGCCCCTCGCTATCCTCGTGGCAGCCCTAGTTGCTAGGGTTCGTCTCTTATTAATATACCTAGGAATAATAATAATAATATGAATAACTGCCTCGTTGATCTAGTGGTCGTAAACGTGGATGCTGATCATGTGGTCATGGGTTCGAATCCCGGGGCGTATCAAAATCAGTTTTGGGTTTTTCTGTCCAGAAATTCTCAGTAGCAACCCGGAGTCAAGAAGTTGGCGGTGTTTCACCCACGTGCCTCGGGCACATAAAGTACCTACGTAAAGCTGGGTATGATCTCTCTCCGCACGTGTCGGATTACGGTCTCACCAAACTTTGAAAGTGAAGGATTAAAGAGTACACCTGTGTTTGCGCATACACTCGGGCACTGTAATCCTGCGCAGATGGCTAGTCTCTAAGACTGGCCGCCGTAACCGAAACGGTCTTTAGGCAATTATTGTTACTAACTGTAAGTGAGCGCGAGAGTGTAACGTGTTGTGGTGTGTGCAGTACCAGACGCGCTGGTCGGGCGCGGAGGTGGCGCGCTACGGCGCGGCCGGCCGCCTGGTGCAGCAGGCGCTGGCCGCCGTGCGCACCGTGCGCGCCTACGCCGGCGAGCAGCTCGAAGTCGACAGGTTCCTATTTCTTCTCATTTTAATTCTAGGCATAATTACAGATATGTGATATACATATATAGGAGGTATACATGAATATTTTTTTTAACTTTGAATAACACGTGGGTATCGTAAGAGGCGACAGAGTGAAACTGGAACAGGAAATGGGTATTAGCATGTTCCATAGTAAAAAAAAAAACTGTGGTTGCTAACCTGCTTGCCAAACATGGCAAATAAGGAAAATTGCACAACAATCTACGGGGGAGGGCTATGTTCAGCAGTGGAATTTTATAGGCTGTAATGGATGGATGGATCGATTTTTATTAAATACCGAAATTCCAAAACGATTTTGGCTATCAGCCATCATCCAAATTTGAAGTGCTTTATTTAAATAAGATAAACCTCTTTCTGTAACCCCTACACAATTGCCCTGTAAAAAAAACAAGTTAATGAAATTCAGACAATTATCGCGGCTATTTATTGTTAGCGGCATATTATTGTTAGTTTTAAAGAAAAAATAAAGAAAACCTACTCATAGTTAACAAGAAGTGGTAGCCCGACAAATTGTCTTGCGTAAGTCTGTGAACAAATTACGTAGTAAAAGATGAATATAGTGCCTTTGCCCATTGTCTTTTATTTTCGTTTAGTAGTTTTAATATGATTACACTGTCTGTGGAAAAACACACTCACTAAAATCAATCCAGTGCGTGTAATACTGGATTGATTTCACTGAATGTTTCTATCTCGACTCAAGTTACGACTGGTGCCAGTTTTTTTACTATTCTAAGCGATTGCTTGACTACTGTCCCACCTGTAAGTGGAGATGTAGCTGAATATGGTAAAAGTGCACTGGCTTAACAAAAGCCTTAACTCTTGCGTTCAAGAAACACCCACGTTGTAATCGGATGGGAAGACAGATGCTGGCAACTTATTTCACTGCTACTCGGTTATCGTGTTATTCTATAGGATAAGGGTGGCGAACGAGCACACAGTCCACTTGATGGTAAGTGGACGCAGTGGCTTACAAACATGGGTCTTCGGTTCTCTACATTTACCATACGAAACACATTAGCATAGATGCTATTTTACGCTAGTATTATGTGAGAGTGTGGTCTCTCTAGTCGAGTATGTCAATCATGTGTGCTACAAACATAATATAGCTTCTGATAGCAACTTAAAATTAAAAACGCCGCGGTTGTCAACTCATCTACCAAGCGTGGCAACTGTGGCAAAATCCTCCGTATGAGCCAATCCATAGGGTGGCCTATGTTCAGCTGTGAACTTGTGTAGGCTGTAATGGATGTATGGCGTTATGACGTAAGTGAAACAGATATGGTCTGGTGCAGGTACGAGGCAGCGCTGTCGGAGGCCGCGGCGGCCGCGAAGAAGCGCGTGGCGTGGGCGGGCGCGGGCGCGGGGCTGGGCTGGCTGCTCACGTACGGGCTCAACGCGGTCGTGTTCGCGTACGGCGCCGCGCTGGTCGCCCGCGATGTGCCGCTGCCACCGCCCGAACGCGAGTACCACCCCGGCGTCATGGTCACCGTCAGTATACAACCGCTCATTCTTGATAGGGTCCTAAATATTTACTAAACACGTTCGTCTGGAAAAAGTAATTTGAGAATTGCAAATTCCAAAATAAAAACACTCTTCAGAAGTATATCTCTCAATTTTACTTTGAAAAAATAAACGAAATAAAAGTTCCCTTATCATTAAAATAATTCTATCCTTGACATTCAAATTTATTTATTTGTTTGCGATATATGGGTTTAATTGGTTTAAATGATCTTAATTATTTCAACAAAAATTATTATTTAAATAAGTATTATTTATAACCTATATTGAATAAATATTTCTATTTCGATCATTGTTTCATTCAGCGAACAAAATAACCACCGATATGCTATTCTTTATCTCAGATACTGTTCTGTACGTTCATGGCGGCACAAAACATAGCGATGTGCCAGCCGCATCTGGAGATGTTCTCTGCGGCGCGCGGCGCGGCCAAGTCGCTGTTCAAGCTGCTGGAGCGACCCTCGCGCATTAACGCACTCAGCGACGTGGGCAACAAGCCAGACAGTTTCAAGGGAGACATCGTGTTCGATAATGTCTATTTCAACTACCCTTCACGCCCTGATGTGAAGGTAAGTCATGTTTATACGTGGTATAGCCACTCTGCATCTATATTATGGTTGTAGCAAGGATGGGTCGACTCGACCGGGGTAGGACCACGCACTCACAGCATTCCGGCGTAAAGTAGCAGCTAAATGATGCTGTGTTTCGTATGGTGAGTGTAGAGAACCGGAGACCCTTTTTACTGGCAAAGAGACATTCCATCTTAGTCCTCACGGGTGACAACGCATCTGCATCTTGAGTCTTTATTGAGGATAGATGTAGATGTCTATGGGTCACAGTAACCACTTACCATCGGGTGAACTGTGACTCGTTTGTCACCCTATCCTATAAAAAAAAACAATCATAAAAATTATATACACCTGGTACATCAAAATATAATACTTACAAAATAGTAACAACATACTTATTTTTTGTATAACTGAACATTCAGTAAACACCAGGTGGTCAATTGCTTTAACAGTGAAAAAAAATTATGCGGTGGCTCCTTAATATTAGCTAATAAATTATTAATAAGTAAAGAACGTAAGGATATTGTGAGCCTCTCTCTTGAGCGAACTCTAGAAATGGCATGTGTTGAGTTCGAGCACTTCATTGTTGTCAGTGTTTACAAACCCCCAGCCCCATGTATGATTGTTTTGAAAAAATAATGGAGGAAGTTTTGCTTAAACTTAATAAACAGAATAAATCTTTCGTCGTATGTGGAGACTTTAATATCAATCTCCTTGAAACTTCTTCCATGAGTATAAGTTTAGATCATTGTCCAAATCATACAACCTTGTTACTTTGTTCTTTGAGCCAACACGTATTGCAGGGCCTAGTGCAACTTGTATAGATAATATTTTTACTGATTTAAGCACTTACATAAATTAATTATACAAAATTTAAGTTCTGATCACTGTGGGCAGTTAGTCTCGCTATCTTAGATACACAAAAATCAGAAAGTTGAGAAACTTGTGCTTGTTCCAATAAATGAAAATCGCTTAGAGAGATTTAGATGTAATAAAGTGAAAAGCTGCCTTTTCTTCCATATAAAAACAATACTAACTATTTATATAGATCATTATTTAAACTAATAAGTCTTGAATTTAATAAAACATTTACTTCCAAAACACTCTCTTTAAACAGTCGCAAATCGTTTAATGAGTGGGCGACAGTAGGAATCCATAGGAGTAGACAAAAGTTGTATGACATTTACAATTAAAAATTATATAATCATAGTGTTTCATTTTAAGAATATGTAAAAAAATATTCCAAAATATTTGAAAGAGTGTGTTATGCAGCCAAGTCTTTATATTTAAGAAACAAAATTAAGAATGCCTCTGATAAAATTAAAATGATATGGAGTATATTCAATAGTGAAACTGCCAAGATCAAACTACACAAATCAAACTTTCAATTAAATTTTAACAATAATTTGACCAAATCAGATCAAGACGTTGCAACGGCTTTTGAACAATATTATATATTATATTTACCGACATTCCGATCTCGACTACAAAGTAACTCAGTTCCTCCCCTGCTATCGCCGAGTCATTACTCAAACAAAATGTAAATGTCTGCAAAAAGAATTTGCATTTCATAGAATATTATCAGGCGATATTGTAAAATATTTCAAAACTTTTGATATTAAGAAAACAGCAGATCTATGGGGGATTTCTGTTAAAGTTATTGGGTCTATAATAGATGCGATCGCACCCCAACATGCTTATTATTTTCAATGCTAGTATCGAATCTGGTGTGTTTCCTGATTTAATGAAACATAGTAAAATTATGCCTTTATTTAAATCTGGCAGTACATTAGACCCCACTAATTTTAGACCTATTTAAGTACAGCCAAAGCTCAGCAAAATTTTTGAAAAAATTATTCTAGATCAAATGATAAGTTTTTTTAATGAAAATAAAATACTCCATAACAATCAGTTTGGATTTACAAAGGGTCGTTCGACAACTGATGCCGGTGTTGATCTAATCAAACATATTTTTTGTGCATGGGAAAATTCAGAAGATGCTTTGGGTATATTTTGTGATCTTTCTAAGGCTTTCGACTGTGTTCACCATGAGACATTAATCAGTAAGCTACATCATTATGGTGTAAAAAACTTAGTGCTTAAACTTATTATGTCATATCTAAATAATAGAAAGCAAACAGTTGTCATTAATGGATGCTGTTCTTCCGGATCGGTAGTATTTATGGGTGTTCCTCGGGGCTCAGTTCTTGGTCCCTTTCTGTTCTTAGTTTATATTAATGACTTACCTGACTTGGTAGGGAATAACCATGATGTAGTATTATTTGCTGATGATACTTCGTTGATTTTTGGACTAAAAAGGCAATTATTGAAATATGTCGAAAAAGACGACAAAAGTAGTACACTGGTTTAACGTCAATAATTTTCTTTTGACGGCAATGAAACGAAATGTATTAAATTCACTACACCTAATGTTAAACAGGTGAATACCAATGTCCTTGTTGAATCCACTGTTTGTCTCGGAATGACAGTTGACGCGAAGCTTCAATGGGGCCCTCATATATCTGATGGTAAGTGGTTGCTGTGGCCCATAGACATCTACATTTATCCTCGATTACGAATCAAAATGCAGATGCGTTGGCACCCGTGAGGACTAAGATGGAATGCTTTGTTTCCAGCAAAAAGGGTCTGATGATGAAAATGATTCTATTCTATTCTAATATGTATTTGTCAGGTGTTGCGTGGACTAAGCTTGCGCGTGAAGGCTGGCGAGACAGTGGCACTCGTGGGAGGGTCGGGATGCGGCAAGTCCACACTGCTGCAGTTGCTGCAGCGCGCCTACGAGCCGGAGAGCGGCACCGTCAGCGTTGACGGCCACAGCCTCGCCAGCCTACACCTGCACCACTACCGCCGTAGCATCGGTGAGAGAGACAAATAGCAAAATTCAATATCGAGCCCTTTTCTTGGGAGTACTTTGTTAAAGACTGGTAAAAATGCAAGCGGCTTTTAAAACGAAATATCCAGATTCTAAAGGGCTTTCATTCAAATTCCTTTAATGCTAAGTTCGGACAATTTTACCTTTTTATTTTACTTTTTTCATTATTTTAATTTTTATAAATCTTCTAATCGATTATAGAAGCCGTGGTAGCTCAGATGGTTAGCGCTCGCTGTAAGTATCTCAGTACGTGAGCAACCTGGGTTCGATCCCCACCGGCACCAATGAAATTGTTAATTGCAATTAAAAAAAAAAACAAAAAGTGCTGATTTACCACGTGCTCGCCGGTGAAGGAAAACATCGTGAGAAAACCTGCATGTCTGAGAAATAAGAAAAAAAATATTTCGGAGGCATGTGAAGTTCGCCAACACACATTGGGGCAACGCGGCGAGCTTGCCTCCTAGCCCTAAAACCTTCTCAGAAATGAGAGAAGGCCTGTGCCCAGCAGTGGGACGTATATAGTCTGTAACTAACTTTTTTTAACTTCTAATCGATTGTGAAGACCCACAACCTAGCCTCTCTTCCTCTTCCACCCCTAAATCTGATCCTGCTATCTATTTACAGTTTTGTTACTTGTATATATTAAATAATTAAAGCTCACCCAATACATTTAGAGAAATAGGTGCATACCGCTGTGTAGTGGCGGACTTAGAAAGTCCACTATCTAATATCATCCCGTGGGTGCAGTAAGAGGCGACTGACGGAAATGAAATAGGAGAGGGCAGCAGCATCTTCCTGATAACAATTGAAAAACGCTGCGGATGCCAACGCTTGCCAAGCATGCCAACTACAGAAAATATCCTTCCTATGAGGCAATCAATGGGGAGGCCTGCGTACAACGTTGGACTTTGATAGGTTGTAATGGAACGATGATCCATGTACATATATGTTGAGTTTTGTATTAGTTATTGTTTCCTACTAACGTTGGCGTATGGATAGGTGTGGTGGGACAGGAGCCGGTGCTCTTCAGCGGCACTATCCGTGAGAACATTACGCTGGGGATGGACAACGTGTCGGAAGAAGACCTCATAGCTGCCGCGAAAACCGCACAAGCGCACAAGTTTATTATGAAGTTAACTAACGTGAGTGTAAACATTTTGCTACTATAAAGGTTCGTTCGATCTTAATCGATTCGCAAAACGATTCTATGCAATTTCAGCCTTTTAGCCTGTCAGATTAGCACGACTTTAATACAAATAATATAGTTAGAACATAATATATTACATCGACATCGAAGAAATTTAGGTATTGTTAGCAATTGCAAAATATTCGAAGATTCCAGGATTAAGTGATTACGTAGGAGTAGATAAAATTTTACATAGTATGTATAATTTTATGCACAAGTTCTTGAATGAATTAATCATTAATTTTTATTGATTAGTTTTTATTTATTTAGATAGATACACCATCGACAATATCAATACGCATTGTTACAAACGAAATACAAAATTTATTATACAAAGGATATGTCTTTACAGGTTCATTATATGAAAAAACTAAACAACATACATACAAACTCTAAACAAACAGAAATCAAACTAATTGAGCAAAAGCACCACATCCAGTAAAAAATTGCAATAAAAAATATTTTAGAATCATTAATCGGACAAGATAGGTATAATTATATACATAACCAATAAGCCTTTCCATTTTCTTTTGAATACAATAAAAAAAACTGCGGTTGCCAACCCGCTCGCCAAGCGTGGCAACTATGGCAAATACCCCCCTATGAAGAGAGTAACAAAGAGACGGCCCCCAGTCCCCGGCGACCCCGCTATTCCTGGCTACGGTGGCGACAATGGTAACGGCGGGGCAGAGGGTGCTAAGAATCTCCGGTATGAGGTTCGGTTGCCACCTTAGATGACTCGACCTGGCAACGCACAACGCACGCACCCTGAGGACTGACGAGAAGATCGTGGAGCTGGAAGAAGAGATAGACAAGTTACGCTGGCATATTACAGGATTATCCGAAGTCCGAAGAGAGAGGGAGGACACGGTAATCCTCGAATCCGGCAACTTGCTCTATCACCGGGAGGGCGACCATCTGTCCCAAGGAGGTATCGGATTTATCGTCCACAAGTCTCTTGTTAACAACGTTGTAAAGGTCGAGAGTGTGTCGACGAGGGTTGCGTACCTTATACTCAGAATCACCAAACGGTATTCGCTGAAGGTCATACAGGTTTACGCACCAACTTCGGCACACCCTGATGAGGAGGTGGAGGAAATGTATGAGGATATCTCTAAAGCCATGCATTCCTCCAAAACCCAATATACGGTGTTAATGGAAGACTTCAATGCAAAACTAGGCACAAGAGAGCGGTGAGCTGAAAGTAGAGAAATTTGGAATAGGGCAACGGAATCCAAGGGGCCAGCAGCTGGCCAACTTCATGGAGAAAGAGGGACTCTTTATGATGAATTCTTTCTTCCAGAAGCGGCCCCACACGAAGTGGACCTAGTCGAGCCCCGACGGTTCGACAAAAAATGAGATTGACTTCATTATGACGACCAGACAACAACTGTTCAGTGATGTCTCCGTGATCGCGAAGGTGAAAACTGGTAGCGATCACCGAATGGTTAGAGGCACACTGAACCTAAACGTTAAGTTGGAGAGGTCTCGTCTAATGAAGTCAACGCTCCGTCCCCCTCGTGTTCTATTCCAAAGTCCCGAAACCTTTCAGCTCGAGTTACAAAACCGTTTTCATTGCTTAGAAAACTACAATGAAGTTGACGATATGAATGACAAGCTCGTGGAAACTGTCCATGCGGTCGGAGCTAAGTTCTGCAAGACCCGCCACAGAACGACACAAAAACTCTCCGATCACACTTTTAATCTCATGGCTGTTAGACGGGAGATGAAGCTACATTCTTCAACAGATTTGACAGCATACAGGCAACTGAACAGACAGATCTCCAAATGCATGCGGCGGGACTTACCCAACTTCAATACAGCTTGTATTGAAGAAGCGATCGAGCGGAACCAAGGCTCCAAAGTATTTGCTAGAGATCTGTCTGCCAGAAAGAGCCAACTGTCAAAGCTGAGAACCGAGGCAGCATCTTTTCCGGGGCAACTGAGATTTTGAGTGAGATTGAGAGGTTCTATGGGCAGCTGTACACGTCATCGTTGTAGCCACACGCAAGTGTGAGTAACGATCCAAGAGCGAGTCTTATCCGACACTATTCCGAAGATATCCCGGACGTCAGTCTGAGCGAGATTAGAATGGCTCTCCAGCACCTTAAAAACGGTAAGGCCACAGGCGAGGATGGAATTCCAGCGGAGCTTCGGAAAGCGGGTGGAAAACCGGTACTCGAAGTCCTTCAGAAGCCCTGTAATTCCGTCCTCCATGGTGGCATTACACCGGAGGCGTGGAGCAGAAGTGCGGTGGTCTTGTTCTTGAAGAAAGGTGACAACGCTCTCTTGAAGAACTACAGACCGATTTCCCTTCTGAGCCGCGTCTACGTGCTGTTTTCGAGAGTCATTACGAATCGTCTCGCGCGCAGACTTGACGACTTCCAGCCTCCCGAACAAGCCGGTTCGGCAAATTGTACAGAAGTCCGAAGAGTACAATTTGCCACTATATCTGGCGTATGTGGACTATGAGAAAGCCTTTGATTCCGTCGAAATTTGGGCGGTGCTGCAGTCCCTTCAGCGGTGCCAAGTTGACTGTTGGTATATCGAAGTGCTGAAGTGATTGTACAGTAGGGCTACGATGGCTATCCGAGTACAGAACCAGAGTACGAAACCTATCCAATTGCAGAGAGGTGTAAGACAGGGTGATGTTATGTCCCCGAAACTCTTCACCGATGCATTGGAAGACGTTTTCAAGCTTCTGGACTGGAAAGGACACGATATTAACATCAATGGCGAGTACATCACTCACCTTCGATTTGCCGACGATATAGTCCTTATGGCAGTCCTCCTTCACTGGAGGATCTAAGCACCATGCTCAATGACCTCAATAGTGTCTCCCAACGGATAGGTCTTACGATGAACATGGACAAAACAAAGATCATGTTCAATGTCCATGTCACCCCTATGCCGGTAGTTGTTGGGAGCACAAAGCTCGAAGTTGTTGACGAGTATGTTTACCTGGAACAAATAGTCTGACTAGGTAAGTCCAACTACGACCGAGAGGTCAATCGACGGATTCAACTCGACTGAGCAGCGTTCGGGAAACTACGACACATCTTCTCGTCAGACATTCCTCAAAACCTTAAAACGAAATTATACAACCAGTGCGTGTTGCCAGTGATGACTTACGGATCTGAGACGTGGTCCTTCACTGCTGGCCGTATGAGAAAGCTCAAGGTAGCTGTCGATGTCATGATTGTTTAAGCTGTTATAAGTTCGCATACATCTATTTAACGGTGAAAACTTACCAAGATTAGTTCTACTGGAGGGGATATTTAATAAATTTGTAATTGGATGTCTAGGGATATGATAGGGGATTTTAAGGCACACTTGCTGCAATAAACTTAGTGAAATTAACTTACCGTGTAGAAGACTATGTAGCGTCATTAGGTCTAAAAGTTTTCGTCGGTCTGCCAGTGAACTCATTCCGAGATGAGAAAGCCTAGATTTATAGTCAGTATAGTATGGACAGTTTTGAAATTTATAAGCGATGAATCGAGTGAAGTTTTTTTGAATACGCTCGATTCTGTTAATGTGTATTTTATAAGAAGGATTCCATATTACTGTGGCATATTCTAAACTGCTACGAATTAATGCATTGTAGATAGTTATCAGAGTGTGAGTTTTTTTGAAGTCATTACATGCATGTTTAATAAAACCTAACATTTTCCATGAATGCGTTACCACGTTATCTATATATTCTATAAAGCTAAGTTTGTTATCAAGAACTAGCCCAAGATCACGGGTGGATGAAGATTCACTCAATATGTCTTTGTTAATGGAGTAACAAGAAGCAATAGTAGATTTATTCTTGTGAATTTAATGTAGGTACACTTACGAGGATTAAGTTTCATTTTGTTACTGGACTGTTGTTCATAGATGGAATCAAGGTCATTTTGTAAAGATAAAACATCATCCTGATTTTAATAGCCTTGAACAATTTTAAATCGTCGACGAAAATGTAACAGTGGCTGTACTTAATGTTATTTGTTATGTCATTAATAAACACTTAAAAAAAGAATAGGACCAAGATGTGAACCTTGGGGTACGCCTGTCAGAGCCACATAATCATTAGACCTATATCCATGAAATACAACACTTTGTAATCTAACTTTAAGATAATATCTTAGCCAACGAAGTAAATTCCTATATACACCGTATGAATTTAATTTAGATATTAGTAATTGATGGTCCACAATATCAAATGCACCAGAAAAATCTGTGTATATGGAATCCACCTGCATTCGACGATCCATTGCACTTGCAATTTTAATTTAAGTTCATATCACCTTAGACAGTTTCATTACAAATAATAAAACAAAATAATATTAATTAAATTTGTGTTCCAATAAAAGAGCATCGCTTGGCGAGGTTTATAAGTAATTCAGTAAAAAAGACTGGCAGTGCTTTCATATAAAAATAATATTGATTATTTGTATGGAGCTTTATTTAAAATAATGGTACGTTGTGAAGTTGATAGGATATTATAAAATTATATAAATATATTATCTAAATTATATAAAAATTCCTACTGTGTACCTAAACATATTTTCTATGCATGGGGAACTCAGGTAATAAAACTAAAAATTATTCGATTCTATTTTGTTCCATTTTATTTTATTCTATTCCATTAAATTTCATTCCATTCCATTTTATTCCGTTCCATTCTATTCTATTGCTTATGCACCCTCTTACCTAATTCTAAGTCTCCACAAGCTTCATTATCTGCGAACGTTAGATGGTATTTGTATGTCTCTCTTTCTACTTTATTGTCAAAATAACTATGTATTGATTTGTCGCTGATCGCTGCGTGCAGGGGTACGACACGAGTCTGGGCGAGCGCGGCGCTCAGCTGTCGGGCGGGCAGAAGCAGCGCGTGGCCATCGCGCGCGCGCTGCTGCGGCGCCCGGCGCTGCTGCTATTGGACGAGCCCACCTCTGCGCTGGACCCCGCCTCAGAGCGACAGGTAGCTAATTTGTACCATAGTCATTTTTATCGAATAATGGTGACAAACGATTTGTAGTTAAGATCTAACCTTAAGTACAAATCAAAATGCAGATGCGTTGTCACCCCTGAGGACTAAGGTAGATTGCCTCGTTTCCAGAAAAAATGTCTTCGGTTCTCTACACTCACCGTATGAAATGGTGTCATTCTGTGAGAGCGTGGTTCTACCCCGGTCGAGCCGTTGAGTATATTGGATACCTCCTTGGAATGCATATTATTCATAATCTTTATTAAACAATAAAATTATATTTATATTTCAAACCATAAGCGTCTTTCTAGTAACAACTAGAAAATATAAAATCACGGTTTGCAATAATAGCAGCGATGGCAAATGTTGGCAATTATTGGTAAATGTTTGTGGTAGACCTCCTTTCCTGCCCGGGAGTCCGCCGTGATACGTTTCACCCTCTTGCCTATTTTTGCCACCAAATGCCTGCTAAATAAAAGTGCAGTATTTTAAAAGTGCAGTACTTGCACTTTTATTTAGCAACAGACCCAAGGGCCACGGCGACCATGCCATCAGCCATTGCCATAAGGTGGTTTGTAATTTCATTAATTTGTCACTTTATTTTTTCCGATTTATCAGAAGCTAGCCCGCGTAAACCTCACATAATTCAACCTCATAACCGACCCACTCTTTTCGATTCCCCATATCGTACTTTATTTTTAATTTTTGAACAAAAATGCTCAGCGCTACTTTATTTTGTCGAACAGGTGCAAGCTGCTCTAGATGCCGCTAGTGTGGGGAGGACAACTTTGGTGGTTTCTCATAGGTAACTTTTTATTTATTACAAAATATTGTTCATATACTTGCAATGTCTTTGTAATCATGATCATCATCATCAGTTTTTAAATGAAAAGCTAACGAAACTAAATTAAACATATTCTAGCAAACATCACGCCGCCGTCTTTCAGGTAGCCTGAAAGACGGCTTCGTAATGCAGTAGTAGGCTTAGAATTGAGTTGCAGCGCCGAGGGCCGCGAATTCGAATCCCACGGGGACAAATAATTGTTTCGGGCCTGGATTTTTGTCCTTGCACAATTTCTGTATTAAAGATGTTAATTTATTTTTAACATCTTTAGTAAAACGGATTTGATATTTATTATTTACATTATCTTTTATTCTTTATGTTAATTATCAATTTCTTTATGTAAACTGCCACGACGATGCTAGAGAAAATCCTTGTTTTAAAAAAAAACATTAATCAATCAAATTATCAAGCACTTGTGATTAACAAAATGTAATGTCGCGCAGACTGTCGACGATTGTGAACGCGTCGCTCATCGTGTACATGGAGCAGGGCGCGGTGCTGGAGCAGGGCACGCACGCTCAGCTGCTAGAGCGCCGCGGCGCCTACTGGCGGCTCGTCAACGACGACCTCACGCAAAAGTACGCACCACCCGTGTACCAATTATCACTTATTTATAATAGCTTAAACTTGTTCATAATGATTTTAAAAAAGGAATTGACAAAATTGATCACTAATAAAGAAGTTATCACTTTATACTCATAAAAAACAGAAAATTAATTATATGTCAGCCCTATAATTATTTTTTATTCTGCACGTACGTACAATTTTTTTGAAATATATAAAGAGTTATTGTTCAAGTTAATGTTTTGTTAAAGAATATATAGATATTGAATAGAAGATAAAGAATGTATAAGAATATATAAAGATATAGAATATAAGAATCAGGTTCTTGCTCCCACTTGAGTACCACTAAGATTAAACATGGGTCCTCTTTTATACATCGTTCACTCATTGAACCCCTTTTTAACACGTTTTTATTAACTTGCTTTCGTGTATGTCTGTTCGGATCGAATTTAGTGATTGATTTAAGCTTCCCGATGAGCTAGACTCTAGCTAGTCTTTAGCTGTTAGAGACTTGAAATTTCGAACATAGCTTAGAATCCGATAACGATGCAAGAATATGATAAAGAAAGCAGAAAGTAGAAGAGGAAGTTTTATACTTTTTAATCCGTTTTAAAAACTTACTATATAAAAATATTAACGATTGACTTGTTTTTCTTTCGGTAAAATAAATTAGCGTAATATTTTTCAAAAACGGACAATAACACTCTTCAGTGGATTTGACAGCATACAGGCAACTGAACAGACAGATCTCCAAATGCATGCGGCAGGACTTACGCAACTTCAATACAGCTCGTATTGAAGAAGCGATCGAGCGGAACCAAGGCTCCAAAGTATTTGCCAGATATCTGTCTGCCAGAAAGAGCCAACTGTCGAAGCTGAAGACTGAGTGTGGCAGCGTCGTTTCTGGGACACCTGAGATTTTGAGTGAGATTGAGAGGTTCTATGGACAGTTGTACACGTCATCGTCGGAGCCATGTGCGTGAGTAACGATCCAAGAGCAAATCTTAATACTATTCCGATGATATCCCGGACGCCAGTCTGAGCGAGATTAGAATGGCTCTCCAGCAGCTTAAAAACGGCAAGGCCCCAGGCGAGGATGGAATTACAGCGGAGCTTCTGAAAGCGGGTGGAAAACCGGTACTTGAAGTCCTTCAGAAGCTCTTTAATTCCGTCCTCCATGGTGGCATTACACCGGAGGCGTGGAGCAGAAGTGCGGTGGTCTTGTTCTTCAAGAAAGGTGACAACGCTCTCTTGAAAAACTACATACCGATGTCCCTTCTGTTTTCGAGAGTCATTACGAATCGTCTCGCGCGCAGACTTGACGACTTCCAGCAGTTGACGAGTATGCTTACCTGGGACAAATAGTCCGACTAGGTAAATCCAACTTCGACAATGAAGTAGAATTGGGCTGGCCATATAGATCGAAGAACCGACAACCGATGGGGAAAAAAGGTTCTCGAGTGGCGGTCTCGTACCGGCGGACGAAGTGTAGGGTGTCCCCCCACTAGATAGAGTGACGACCTGATAGTCTTATCAGGTCGTCACTCTATCTAGTGTAGTCTCTATCCATCGACTTCCTGCATGTCTATGCAGGAAGTCGATGGATGCAGGTGGCTCAGGACCGTGCTTTGTGGCATTCCTTGGGGGAGGCCTTTGTTCAGCAGTGGACTTGTGAAGAGCTGTAATGATGATGATGATGACAATAACACAAATAATATCTTTTAACAGGAGTATAGAAAAAACTTTGGCTGAATCTGTCGATGAAGAAGAGGCAGATGACATAGTTGTAGAGAACAAACCGCAAGCACTAAGACGCAACAGCAGTGTTTGTTCTACTCGAAGCAGAATAGGTTCGTAATTCATAATACTTATGTTTTATACTTTCCCTTTTTTAACAACATGAACTCAGGCCAATAACGTAATACCAGTATTGTAGTGCCGAAATTGACAACGGGAAGCAGGTAAGGTGCTTATCGTTTGGCACTACGTTCGCCAAATCGCCTTCCAGTCGTAGCAAATGTCGCAAAGCCTTTCTACTATGATAAAGATTTTTTGGACCTAGTAGAGCCATGCTGCAGCTATATTAGTAGTATAGTTGTAGCACGAACGGATCGGCTCGACCGGGGAAGGACCAAGCTCTTACAGAATACCAGCGTAAAATAGCAGCTTAATACTGCTGTGTTTCGTATGGTGAGTGTAGAAAACCGGAGTCCCTTTTTACTGGAACCGAGGCATTCCATCTTAGTACTCACGGGCGACAACGCATCTGCATCTTGATTCGTAATCGAGGATAGATATAGATGCCTATGGGCCACAGCAACCACTTACCATCAGGTGAACTGTGTGGTTGCTTTGTCACCTTTATTCTATAAAAAAAAGACAAGAGAGAGGCCAGCTAAATGGCAGACAACGCTTAAAGAAGCTGATGCGTATAAGACGGATGATGGTTATTTTTAAAATAGCTTGACTTCAAGCGCTATATATTTATATTTATTTATATTTTCTCTCGTATCATAATCTAACGTCTCCAACTGCAATTTGGAGACACTTTTATTGTACAGGAGTTTTTTGTTTGTGGGAAGAGTTTATTATATAAATAACCTCCCAGGAAAGTGAGACTTTTTGCCAAACGCGAATGAGATTTAATTGAACATGGATGCTATATCCTTACGTAATTTTTCTTTTAGTATTAGTGGATCATACGGTAATAGACAATGTTGCCTACTTAGAGTGTATAAAATATAAAGTTGCCGAATCGTGTGGACTCGGCCTTTTTTGTATACTCGTAGATCGCGCGTTGGAAATGTGTACGGAAAGGAAAGTGATGTTTTCGTTGAACTCTTTTCAGTTTTATGAGAATAGATATGGATGTTCCTCCCCAGACTGTTATTTCGTAAATTAATAAGGATTCACATAGTATCAGATAAAACATTCTAATGATATTCGATTCGATATCAATCGTGGAAACGATTTTTAAATCTTGGACAGCACTACACTTAAAAATAAATTAACTATTGAGATTGGCTGTCTGTGTCGTTTTAAATGAGCTTAGGCATGTATTGCACTTGCACAGGTTCGACAGCACGCGAGATGTTCGTGCGCAGCAGCCTGCGGCTGGCCACGCCGCCGCGCGCTCTCGCGGACCCGCCGCACGTGAGTTTCATCCAGGCGTACAATTACCAGATAGAGCATGGTACATACACGACTTATAAAACAAACGTTACATACGATATAGTATGGCACAATACGTTTTTTTTTTCTCTTTTTCTTCTACTCTTTTTTTCATAACTCGGTTACACCACCGGGACAGGTTTTTATATTGGTACAAACTTGTCCTTCTTTTCACAATTGATTTACCCCCGCTATTTGATACGAGCGACACAAAAGTTACATTTTATAACAACAATACTTTACGATGGGTTATCATTTACACACACGGTGGAAGTGAAACCTTCAGAAAACTAAACTTCGAGAGAATGAAACGAATGCAGTGTCAGGAGTAGGATAACTGTAGTGTTTATTTATCATAATATTGTTACAAAGTTTAAAAACTATTTAACATTTTACTCTACATATATTACACCACATATTATACAGACTTCAAGTTTTCAATTTCATCATCGTAAGTACTTAAATATTTTCTAATCAACATATGCATTATCATCTCATCATGCATTGTCTCCATACATTTCATGAAACATTTTATACTGTAAGTACTCTATCTTATTCTCTCGCGGGCTAAATCCTATAGATGTACATATATTTGTCTCTTTTTAGTGTCGCTTTTTCGTTTCATCGAGTTTCAAATGACAACGATTCTAAAGAAATTTTAACTTCAAAAGGTCGAGGGTGAGGAGGGTAGCGAGGCAGAGAGCGGCGAGCAAGTGCCGTCGGTGTCGAACTGGGAGCTGCTGGAGTTGAACCGCGCCGAGTGGCCGCTGCTGGTGGGCGGCGGCATCGCCTCGCTCGTTATAGGCGCCACCATGCCCGTCTTCGCTTTTCTCTTCTCCAAGCTCTACGGGGTTAGTGTTACGTGTTATCTTATCTATACGTGATCCTTTTTACTGGAAACGAGGCACTCCATCTTAGTCCTCAGTCCTGACAACGTTTTCCGCATTTTGATTCTTAATTGAGGATAGACATAGATAGAGGTCTATAGGTTACAGCATCCACTTACCATCAGGTGGAGTGTGTGCTCGTTTGTCACCCTTATTCTATATTATAAAGAGTGTTTTATGTTGTGACAGATGTTCTCCCTGGCGGAGCCTGCGGAGATCGTGGCGAAGTCGCAGGTGTACGCGGGGGTGTTCGCGTGCGTGGCGGCGCTGAGCGGGCTGGTCACGTTCCTGCAGGCCTGGCTGCTCGGCCGCGCCGGCGCCAAGCTCACCGACCGCCTCCGCCTCCTCACCTTCCGCAACTTTCTCGCACAGGTACCGCTACGTTCCTTTCATATTGGACAACTTTGTCTTGTGATAGACGTGGTAGAGTCATGCTGCAGCTATGTTCAATATAGCACGAATGGGTCCGCTCGACCGAGGAAGGAGATGCTCTCAAAGAATACCAGCGTAAAATAGCAGCTTAATTCTGCTGTTAAAGATGTTACAAATTTTATTAGCTAAGATCCGCATATAAAAATAAAATGATGTGTCTTATCTGCAGTGTTTATACGTGTTAGAGCCATGCTGCAGCTATTAGCTATTAGTAGTATAGTTGTAGCACGAATGTGTCGGCTCAACCGGGGAAGGACCACGCTTTCACAGAATACCAGCGTAAAATAGCAGTATATCGCTGCTGTGTTTCGTATGGTGAGTGTAGAGAACTGGAGACCCTTTTTACTGGAAATGAGGCATTCCATCTTAGTCCTCACGGGTGACAATGCATCTGTATTTTGATTCTTAATCGAGATTGGAAGTGTAGATGCCTATGGGCCGCAGCATCCACTTCCCATCAGGTGGACTGTGTGCTCGTTTGTCACCGTTATCTTATAAAAAAAAGTGTACTTCACCCGAGGATGCCTCGTGTAGAGGCGAAACACGTGTCGTATTATCGTCTGTGGTATGTCTTTCCTAGTGTAATGGTGTTGGGAGTAATGATGCTGGTAATGTCGCTGGGATTGAGGAAGGGTGGACGGTGCTCTTCAAGCTACGTAAGACAACGTTTTATTTTATCACGTGGATCTTACTTAGCTAATAATTAACATCTTTACTATAATAGATTTCTACAAAGTAACGCCTGATTCTATTAATGCTGCTGTGTCTCGTATGGTGAGTGTAGAGAACCGGAGACCCTTTTTACTGGAAACAAGACAATGGAATCACTCATTCCTATATGCAACATATGTTTCGTTATCCGTAATGATCCGTTTTATAACATACGAGGTGCATGTAAAATAATTTATATTACAAATGATGAATAAATATTCATTAACTTTGAATGAAAAAAACTTAAAACATTTCATAAATATTTGAACTGAAATTTTGTTATAAAAAACGTGTTTTCATACACATAATTTGCTGCAAAAGGACTCGTAAAAAAAACGGAGCGTTTTCAAATCTAGAAACCCGGCATTAATCCTCAGGGAACAATGTATGTGGATTTTGATTCTTAATCGAGGTTAGATGTAGATTTCTCATTTTTGATCTTCCATCTGATTATAAAACTCAGACTTATAATCAGATGGAATAAATATATAAATATATATCGTTATTTGTGTAAGTCTATATTGTGATTGTAATTAATTAAAGTTATATTCTGTATCATCTCCAGCATACTCCATTGTCTTGTGAAGTTAGATGTTTCCACATATTCATTACGGTGTTTAATTTCAAGAGTACTTTCAATTTTGCATGTATACAGGAGCAAGGATGGTACGACCTGCCTGTAAACTCGGTGGGAGCCTTGTGCGCGCGACTCGCCTCGGACTGTTCGGCGGTGCAGGGCGCTACAGGTATGTACCGACATGGCAGAACATTAATATTGCATACCTTAAGCGAAAGCGCATAGTATGTTCTACTATCGCCTAAAAATTAAGATTCCAACGTTTTATCGAATAAAATCGTATCTAGCAATCATATTATACATATAAATGATATAAAAAGCACATTGTTAGCAAGATAAATGATTGTTGAACTTATTAATATTTTTTTAAAATCGATTAATTGCTATTTTTAAATAAAAAAGGGGTTTTAGTGGCTTATGGTGTGGATTTATCATGTCCCCAAGGCTTGTAAACACAATAACTTTTGAAAATATCAATTGTTTAACTCAATCTGTTTTTTAATCTCTTCATCTATTATGTGGAAAGCCACTGAATGTAAATGGCAGTGTAATTTTGTTTTGTTTAGATATAATTAATTTTTTTCGGCTCCAAAATTGCGAAATTTTCGTTGATTTGGTTGCCTAGTATGTAAATTATTTCTGTAAATGGGGAGCTACAGCCACAGAGTAGTTTAGTTCGGCTTTCCTGTATAGGACAGTTATTATACTCTTTGGATCGGCTTCAGTCGCCGTCGTGAGCGGACATTGTTACGGTTGTTTGCAGCGGCTCAAAAAGATCGCTGTACAAATACACAATATTCGAATAGGTAACCAAATTTCTTAAATACTTGATTATAATAATAATAAGAGATTTTTTATTACAATATTTTAAAAGCACAGAATAAATAATAGTAGTACGTACTAAAAGTAAGTAGTATAATTTTTTTGTCATGGGTGACATTTTCATGGTTTTCGAGGGTGTTGAAACCGGGTTGGGTTAGTTCGGTAGTGTTGTCGAAATGTAAATCCAAGATGGCGGCTGCAATAGGTATAAATTTTTTCATCATGGGTGTCATTTTCATGGCTTTCGAGGGTGCTGAAACCGATAGTGCTGTCGAAATGTAAATACAGGATGGCGGCTGAATTAGGTACCAATTTTTTCATCATGGGTGTCATTTTCATGGTTTTCGAGGGTGTTGAAGCCGATAGTGCTGTTGAAATGTATTTAAACTACTTTAAAAATTCCGTATAATCAAAATAAATCAAAAATAAAGGTATGCCCAATTGGATTTACCAATATATTTATTATATATTATAAAACTCATCAAATCCCAAGCGTTGTCTTAATATGTTTATATTAAATGTCTATATTATGGACAATACTTCATTTTACAAACCTTTAACACGAATGTGGTCTCTTATAATGATATGGTTTTAATAGACTCAGTTAGGCACCCTGATATCTTCGATAATAAAATAAATAAACTTCGCACTAGACTGTTTTACTCAAATCAGCTCCACATTCATTTTTAGTTGTCTATAATTATATCTAAAAAAAAAACTATTTACTAACTTGTCACAAAATTGTTAAACTATTTTTCTATCGATGTGTTTATACGCATGTTGCAATTCGTCATTGACGCCGCAAAGGGGCGAACCTCAATTTTTCAAAAAAGTACAGGCGAGCAAGAAAACATAATGATTTCTTATATTTATGCGAAGACTACACATTAAATGAAATAATTAATTACGGTTTTTACGGTTTCGGTCGCCTTTAGTTTAACTTTTTAGTTCCCGATGTTACTGGTACCCATGGTCACGGGGGAACTGAGGTGTTTGACGTTCCGATGTCATAGTTAGCCCGGCTACCTTCAGTTTTTGAATATTAATATAGGTTCGATCTACGTAGAGTAAGCTTACAGTATCTTGAAGTCTTGCAGATGGCAGCGCCCATTCATATCCTCTATTGAAATTAGGATGTTTTTTAATTTCAATAGCATCGCGAATCATCCTTGGTAGGAATCGGGGTTCTTTTGCGAGGATTTGCGGATTATCAAATCTAATGTAATGGCGGGGACGATCTAGAACATGTTCACACACTGCAGACTTCCCGATACGTCGGTGCTTCAAGTCAGCTATATGTTCTTTTACGCTGGTTTTTATAGATTACAGTACATTAGATCCATTATCCGCCATGACAGGCCTATTTTCAGCAGCGGACTTTTAATAGGCTGTATAGAATAAATGAACTATGTATTTCAAGTTTTATAAGTAAATTGTCACATTTACGTGTTATACGTTTAATTGACTCCTTGGCGCAGTGGTTTAGCAATGAGTTACGACGTTGAAGATCGCGGGTTCGAATCCCGCACGGAACAAGCATTTGTATGGCCTACCAGTAATTTTTCGGATCTAGATGTTTGTCCTTGTGAAATTTATGTATGTAAACTGCTCCCACGATACAGGAAAAAATCTTAGTGTGGAGGTAACGTTTTTTAAAGTAAAAAAGAAATAATTTATGTACGTAAACTGCTCCACGATTCAGGATAAAATCCTTGAATTTGGAGTAACATTTTTTTTAGTAAAACATAAAGCAAATTATAAAATATGCATTAATTACAGACGCAGTCGTAAAACAGTAAAAATATACTAATTAATCTAAAAAAAATAACCGGCTCTGAGGACATAATGTACACTAACTCGTGTAACGTCGCAACCGGTATAGACAGAAGATTAGGTATCGAAAGCATTGTTCTAGCTAATGTTGTTTACTAATGTTTCGCCTGGTGCCCTGGTGCATACGAGCACAAAATATATTTCATTATAAACTACTATACTATTTTACATCGCGATTCAATCACGCAATAGAGTCAGATGTTGCTAAAACTTAAATACATACTTATACGGTATGCTTTTGCATTTGACTGTATTAAATTGATATATTTGACATAAAAACAACTGTACAAATCTAAAAACTTTCATTTAGGATCTCGTTTGGGCACGATGCTGCAGGGTGTGGCCACGATGGTGCTCGGTGTGGGGCTCGCTGTAGTGTACTCTTGGAAAATGACACTCGTGAGCTTGCTCAGCGTACCATGCGTAAGTAAATTTAATACCTACGTAGAAGGGTGGGATCGACCGAGACAGACTATTTGACAGAATAGGAGCCTTGCCGCCCAAAAGAATCAGTGACCGATACAGCCCAACTAATCAATAAACTGAAATGTAAAGGGGCTGGCCATATGACTCGAAGAAAAAAACAATCAATAAGGAAGATCCAATCTTCTAATAGTAAATAAGTTCTAACCTTCATTTTTTTTTATTTCACAAAATCTACCGTGTAGTGACAGTGTAAGAATATCCACTAGCACATACCGTCCCGTGGGTGTCGTAAGATGCGACAGAGGGAAATTGAAACTGGTGATGGGCAGCATCTTCCTAAAAACAGCTGAATAAAAACAATGCGGTTGTCAACCCGCTCGCCAAGCAGCTATGGCGAATACCTCCCTATGAGGCAATCTATGGGAGAGGCCTATGTGCAACTGTAGACTTTTATACTGTAATGACTGTAATGGATAATAGAAACGTACTAAGTGCGTAGCAAATTTTTTTATAGAATAAGCCAAACGTGCACACAGCCCACCTGATGGTATGTGGCCCATAGCTAACCCCCTGAGCTACCACGGCTTCGGTATCTATCATACCTATCCTCAATTGTCATCATCTTGTGTTTTCATATATTTTTTCTGCCGACTTCCAAAAAGGAGACGATACTCAATTCGACTGTATGTTTTTTTTTATGTGTGTTACCTCATAACTTTTTACCGGGTGAACCGATTTCGATGATTCTTTTTTTATATGAAAGCTGATAGTTCTCGAAGTCGCTTATATTGAAGTCGGCTGTACAAAATTTTTAATTTTAAATTATTCTTTTCTTTATTCTAATTTATGTACACCTTCCCTATTCGCAATGCGTTGTAAACAAAAGTTATTTGCGCAAAATGTTTGTCTGGAAGAAATCGCTTCTAGAGCGACAAGACCGCCTATTGTAACTTCTATATAATATATTTCATTTTGTTTTCGTTTTCATGTGTATTGGTGTACAATAATGAATATAATATTTTATTTTCAGGAAACTTACAGTTATTTACAATCAATTGTTCTTATACATTTATATAGAAATTAACTAATACAGTTTTCACATATATGGAAAAATAAAAGGGTATAATTATTACTATTTACGCGTACATTACTCATTAAATGAAACTAATTTTAATTTTACTTTTTAATTCCCGACGTTACGAGTGTTTTGCAGGAACTTATGGTCACGGGGAAAATGTAGAGGGGGAGGGGGATTTGTTTGACGTCTCAATGTCATAGCACAAAATAAATAATAGTACTAACGTAGTCATAGTTACCGCGGATACCTTCAGTTTTTGAATATTTATTTTTGGTCCGATCTACGCACAACGAGCTTACAGTCTCTTGAATTCTTGCAGTGGTTTCGATTTAATTTTAGTAATTATAGGATCCCAAGCAGACGGTAGCACCCATCCATCTTCTCTATTGAAATTTTAATTTCAATAGCCTACGCGAATCCTTCGGCAAAACGTCGGGAATTAAAAAGTAAAAATTAAACCCGATAAATTCCATAAAATTTGTTTAATTTAATGGTAGATTCGCATGTTAAGAGTTTGCGATAAAACTAGACAACACTTATCTTTTAACTTTTCCTACCGTCATAAAGACTTATAAGTTATGTATCCTAGTAACAATTAATAAACTCTGTCGCCAAGATTCGCTTTAATGTAATAGTACTATTAAAGAACATATCCGCTTTAGTGCTATCACATTGATTATTTGAATTAAGATATTGATTGATTGAGTGATGTTGTGGCGTAATGCAGGTGATCGGTGGCATCTGGCTGGAGGGCGTGGTGGCTGAGCGTGCAGAGGAGCGCGAGCTGCGCGCACTGCGCGGCGCCGCGCGTCTCGCCACCGAGGCCGTGCTCAACGTGCGCACCGTGCAGAGTCTTGGTAACGTATCTCACTGCTCACAACAATAAACACTTATATGTATATTACTAAGACGTCTCTGTGGCTTTAATACATTGCACACTAAATTACGCTCAATTCTTCGTAACTCCTTTAGAGTTTAGTCGACTGAGAACAACGGAGAAGACTGGTTCTTTGTTTAGTGAACCGCGAACATTGTTTTCGACAATCTCACACCTGTCATTATTTATGTGCGCACTTTGTCAATGTGATTTGAAGTTTATTTTAGATAAGTATGTAACTTTATTTCGTATTTGCCTAAAAACAGCAACTGTCATGAATGAAAATACAACTGCGTGGCATATTTGCCGTGCCAGCTACCCGCCAGATTCACAGCTGTGACACAGTCTTTGTTTTGAATTGCGGATCTACATAGAAGTCATGATCTCATCGCCATCAGATCCCATTTTGTATTCAACACCGACGCGCTTCTATCCGATTAAGCTATAAAATCAGTCGTACCTTTAAAAGTCGAGGCAATAAAGAAGTGATCAATTCCTCAAGCTGTAACCAAAACATTACAAAGAATTTTTAGAAGGATGACAAACGAACACACAGTCTATCTTATGGTAATTAGATGCTTATTGAGATCTATTCTTAATTAGGAATCAATATTTAAATGCCGAGGCATCAGCATTTTAATCCTCGGGCCTCAGATTAAAATATAATGCTCGTAATGAGTATGAAGGGTGTCTGATTTACCCCACTTACAAAACACAGCAGCATTATGCTGCTATATTAGACCTGTATTATTTTCTATGAGAGCTTGATTCTTCGGCAAACAACCGACCCATTCGTGTAGCAATATTATGCAGAATGGCTAAACCACATAAAATATTCAGACATCAAACAAAAAATATAAGAAAATTATATAGAATTAAAAAAGTTTTTGTTGGTTTTAACATTTTACTTTTTTACTGACTTCAAAATGCAGCATGGGTTTATTTTCATCTATTTTTAGGCCGATATTTGTTTAAGATCGCAAATAAAATAATATTTACCATACTTTATTGCATTGAGTACTGATACATTGTATAAATTAAAAAGGATCAGACCCAATATATAGCCTTGAGGGACTCCTCCATAATATGTATCATCATCATCATCATTATTACAACCCTTTACAACTCCACTGCTGAATATAGGCCTCCCACAGGGAATGCCACAAAGCACGGTGTCTACGGTGGCTTACCACCTGCATATCTCTCACGAGCTTGCCATAGTTGGCAATTTCAGTTTTTTTTTTTATTATATATATACATATATGTATGTACGAAAGATATTAGCTAATCGTAGTTGCTTGCGCGCAGGCGTGGAGCTGGCGATCCTGGATCGATACACGGAGACTCTTCGTGAGGCCGATAAACAGGCACGAGGTGTGCGCTGGCTGCGTGGTCCGGTGTACGGGCTGTGCCTGTGTGCGCCCACGCTGGGCTACGCCGTGTCGCTCGCCTACGGTGGATACCTCATCGCACGGGAAGACCTGCCCTACGAATACGCCATACTGTGAGTACACTAAAGCCTGTCAACTTTCTTTCTTTTCGGAGATCTACCCACTTATGATGAAATATTTGCATCGCTAGTAATGAACAAAGAATTATATTTGCAATTGCAGAACAAGCAAAAAATAAGTCTAGTTAGTAGAAGTAACTCCTTAACGTAATGGAGCAGATTGAGAATGAGAAACATCCGCCCCGCGTGTGTTAACCAACTCAAACATGTGCTCCTGGTAGGAATGGTGGATTTTACACACTGTGGTTAATCAACGCTTCATATAAATATGCAATTGACATAATGTTTGCTGTTTGCACGTAATCTGTCTATCCCTGAATAGTAGTTTCTCAGCTACAGTTCAAGTCAAAATTTCTTTTTAATACCTCTCGGCTGTCCGCGTCGCTGAATGTCGACCATAATAAACCAAATTATAATATATAATGTTTTACAAAGCACTCCATCTCAGTCCTTAGTGATGACAACACACATCATGCCTCTGTTTCCATACGCGAGAGAGCTATGTTACGGCTATATTATGTTTATAACACGAATGGGTCGGCTCGACCGGAGAAGGACCACGCTCTCACAGAACACCAGCACAAAATAGTAGCATAATGATGCTGTGTTTCGTATGATGAGTATAGAAAACCGGAGACCCTTTTTACTGAATACAAGGCATTCATTCTTAGGATGACAACGGATCTACATTTTGATTCTTATTTGAGGGTAAGTGTAGAATAGATTTCTACGATCCACGGAATTCACTCATCAGCAGGTGGAGTGTGGTCGATTGTGCTCGTTTGTCACGCTCATTCTATAAAAAATGAAATGAATTGCAGTGTGTCGGAGGCGCTGATCTACGGCGCGTGGATGCTGGCGGAGGCGCTGTCGTTCGCTCCCAACTTCGCGGCGGCGCGGCGCGCGGCCGCCCGCGTCGTGAGCGCGCTGCGCCGCACGCCGCAAGTGCTCGACCAGCCCGCCGCCGGCGACGACCCAAGCTGGGTAACCACCACTCATTACTACCTAGCATCTCGATCTACTATTTAGGATTATTTATGTATTTATTTAAACTTTATTGAACCTTATAGCAGTATAGGATCAAAAGGCAGAGTTTATGCTAAAAGCATTCTTTGCCAGTCAACATTAAGGCACACTGTTCTAAGGTTGACTGAAACTACGAAAGCGGCCACAAAGAACAAAAAAATTATATATACAAAAAACATGCGTGAGTGTCGTCAAACACTCGGTTAGAACGAAGTTCCTTTCATAGTGTTATTATTAGGCGTTATTATTAGGTGATTATTATTGATAAACGTATTATATTATTGATTAACAAATACAAATAAATTAATTATTGGCGTCTATTAGAATGCAGCGTCATTTCAAATAAAATACACTATGACACAAGGGGTAGTAATGAAAAAGTCTTACACTTTTTGTCGCCTACCTCCCATCTACCAAACCCGCACCGTCCGATAAGGAACTTCGTTTCAAAAATATTTTGGACAACTATAAAAATTAATTGTTAATAATTGATTTATGATAAAAATAACTGCATATAAACGTCCCACTGCTGGGTACAAAACGATAGTCCGATGGCACTGTCGTTTTGGCCTGTCATATAGAAAAAAAATCAAAATACAAAGACTTCTTTGTATACTACTAGACCCGCCATTCGGAACAAAAACTGTGTTACTGGATTTTTCTATCAAGAAGTTCTCAGTAGCGGCCCGAAGTCAGAAAGTTGCCGGTGTCTCACCCCCTGGACTAGGAAAGCACGTAAAGCCGTAGCTCCTGCGTTTGATCTCTCTTCCGTCGCGTCGGACTATGAGAGTGAGGGAATAAAGAGTGCACCTGCAGGGCTAACATGAGCAGGAGGCAATTTTATTCCCGGGGAATGGAGAAAATGTTTATCCCCTCGCTTAGTTTTATTCACCCTTCGAGTATGGGCACACCGGTGGATATAGTGGATATAATATCCACAGTGGATAAAATGGGAGATATTTTTTGTATGAATATAAACTTAAACCCACGTCCAATGAACTAGGATAAAATTGTCCCTTTCAAATGTCAAAAAAAACATAACATAAACATAACATAAACACTCACGCCTGTCACCCAGAGGGTAAGGCAGAGACTACGGACTTCCATTTGACGCGATCCTGACACACCTCTCTCGCCTCTTTTACATCCATATATCTACCTACGCATACACGCTCGTCGATTAAGGGTACTCCTAATCTGGCCCATTTTTAATGTATCGCCGATTTGGTCGATAAACCTTCGTCTAGGGCGTCCCTTCCCGACCCTGCCGTTCACCTCTGCAACATAAATTTGCTTTGTCACTCTTTTCTCGTTCATTCTTTCTACATGACCAAACCACCGAAGCATTCCTTTCTTAATCCTTGTCACAACGTCATCTTGCAAAAAAGCATAATTTTTTATATTTCATTTGGTTCCATGCAACGGACGGGGGATATATTATGTCCACTCGTTATGTCAAACGGGGATATACTTCTCCCCGTTGCTGTGCTTTGGCATAGGGACAAGATAATTTTATCTCTTGTCGGTGGATAAATCGGGGGATAAAATTTTCGTCCCCAGCCCATGCTAACCGTGCTGTGCTTGCACATACACTTGGGCACTATAATCCTGTCCTGCGCAGATGGCTAGTCTCCGTTGAGACTGGCCACCATGACCGAAATTCGATCTGGAGGATATCATTGTAGATGTAATAAAATACCAAAACCGGCGACGGGGACAGCGCTAAAGTTCTGATCTTGTAATAACCATTAGTAATATCAAGGCATACGTGATCGGATAATAAAATGACGTCGCATGTATATTTACTAGAATTGCCTGTTATAGTTCGTGAGTAATTAAAGTCTAAAAAGTGCCATTTTCATCACTCACTGACTCACTCGTCGTAAAACATAGGCCACTACTAGGTTACTTAGAAACTTGGAATTTGGCATTAATGTAGAGTAATGCGATACAATTGTTAAAATCATAGAATCTACAAAAAAAACCCTGAACGTCATTTGTACTAAACTTGGCTTCCTTTTTACATTTATGTTTTTGGTATGATAAAACAGACAAAACAAAAAAGAATTAAAAAAATACAACAATCTCTAATATTTCAGACTGCAACGGGCGAACTTAAATTCAACAATATCCACTTCCGGTACCCGACGCGGCCACAAGTTGAGGTCCTCCAAGGACTTAACCTAGAACTGAGTGCGGGTCGTACGTTAGCGCTGGTGGGGCCCAGCGGCTGCGGCAAGTCCACGCTGCTGCACCTGTTGATGCGCAGCTACGACCCTGATAGCGGTAACGTGGTGAGTGATACAAGACTTTACATTACGTAAACTTTAACTTGTGTACAGTAACATGCACGCTTCAGATTTTTGTCCCAGTACACATAAACTACAGAATTTGGGACTAAGAGATTTTGAAATATAATTTAATAGGTTTCTTATTAATATTTGTCACATTAACTTACTAAAAGAAGGTGTTAAATAAGTAGATTTCAGGTACGCTGCAGCATTATCTGCAGGCTTATCTTGTGTCGTGGAAGTGTTTTAAAACATACAGATTTGGAATTTTTGCTCGGTGGGGGAATCGATCCGCAGCCCGCATCAATGTAGTCAAATGATTTGTCACTGCGGTACCGAGTCGCCGTTTCTGATGACCGTGAGGCGACACGTATTCGACAAGAACCTTGAGATCTAGCCACTTGTTTACACAGACATATGCTATAAAAAAGCACGTATGCTATAAAATAACAGACCTATGACCAATCGGGAAACGGAAATGGTGCCACCGACGCCGCGGTTAACATTATGCCACTGGGAGACCACCTATCTCCTTAATTTTACTCTCTGTAATCTTTTTAAAGTAAAGTCGTACTAAAGTATATAATATAATAATAATAATAATAATAATAATGAAGACGCAGAGCTCCGTGACGAGTAGTGTACAGAGATAATGAGAGTATCCACAACTTCTAACAGTGGTAGAGCCACGCGGCAGCTTTTGCTGTCGCACGGATGGGCTGGCTCGAACCGGGGTGGTGCCACGACCTCACAGAATACCAGCGTGAAGTAGAAGTTTACCTCTGCGTTTCGCTTGGTGAGTGCAGGTGGCCGGAGGCCCTTTTTACTGGAAATGAGGCATTCCATCTTAGTCCTCACGGGTGACAACGCATCTACATTTTGATTTGTAATAGAGGATAGATGTAGATGTCTATGGGCCGCAGCAGCCACTTACCATCAGGTGGACTGTGTGCTCGTTTGTCACCCTTATCCTATTAAAAAAAACTTATTCTGCTACCAGGGCTTACTTAGGAAAGTACTTAGTGAAATATTTGTCAGATTTCATAGCGTGAGAAGTTAATTTGTCAGACAAGTGTACAGATTAATGTCTCTTACTGAAATATTAGTTATATTTTATATTAATTAGATTAAAAGTGGATAAACCAAACTACAGATATTCCTAAAAGTAGAATAATTTTAAAATAGTAAAAAAAATGTGTAAAACATTAAATAATACAATAAGGCACTGTGTTGTGTATATACATTATTCATACACTGGAAACCGAAAAACTTTTATTTTAAATGCAATTTTCAATGATGATGACACTGTGTGCATAACAAATAAGTTCACCTTAGTTCCAACTAGCGACATCTGGTGAGCGTAAGATTATTAGCCCTCATTGTGTGGTCAGGAGCTGGACGGGCGCGACATCAAGCGCGACATGCGGCTGCGAATGCTGCGCGCACAGCTCGGGCTGGTGCAGCAGGAGCCGGCGCTGTTCGAGCGCAGCCTCCGCGACAACATCGCGTACGGCGACAACTCGCGCGCCGTCCCTCTCGACGAGATTATAGACGCCGCCAAGCAGGCTAACGTGCACGACTTCATCGCCAGCTTGCCGCTGGTACGTACGCTGCTTATGACCCTTTTTATATAATTGTCAGAACATCATTGCACCGAAACAAACATTTCTAGGTATAAGTACTTCTAGACCAGCCATTCAGAACAATAACTGCGTCACAGCTGTGATGTCACGCGGTCGAGTAGCTGGCGAGGTAAATATGTCACGCAGTTGTATTTTTATTAACAACAGTAACTGTTTTTAAACAAATACAACATATAGTTACATATGTATATCTATGTATATCTCAAATTAACAAAGTGCGCACATAAATAATGACAGCGCTTTCTTAGTCGCATTAAACAAAATCAGTGTATAAGTATATATTACGATATCGGTTTACAAAACAAAGAACTAGTCTTCTCGCCTGCTCGTCGTCAAATAAAGGAGTTAAAGTGACTTAGTGAGCAATGTTAGTATATAGTAGCATACTAGTAAATTATACAGCACTACATTTCATTGCACATTCAACATGGACGAAATGTGGACTGCTATGTAATTGATGTATAGAGATAAAAGCGACAGTTTCCTCATTACTAAGCGAACGGACTGCAAAGTTAAATTTATTTGGAAAATGCAAAAGTGTATCCCTCATGAGCATTTCATTTAATTTTGATGAAAAAAATTAATTATTTTTTTTATAAATGTACCTCCCACCTTATAATTTCCATTCTCGATACGTCAATTTTGTCGGGAGTTATCGTGCCCACATACAAAATCAGCGTACCGACATCCAGACGTCCACGTAAAATTTTTTTCATCCGTTTTTTTTTCAAAGTAGCAATATAAAATGATTTTTTAGAAAATATAAGATGGATTATTATAAGTACAATTTGGTTGTGATAGTGGCATTTTAAGACCATAAAATTACTTAACCTTGACGTGTCGGGAGTAAAGCACTAGCTCAAACGCTTCGCGTTATGAGGAGTGCAAAAGGCGTGGGTTCGAATCCGTCATTAAACTACTGCTGTGAAGCACTCTTATAATAATAAGCTCATTCTGCGATATAGAACCAAATATTAATCATTTTATACTGAAGGTAGCCGTGGTCGTCGAACATCTTAGTCACCTCGTGACCATGGGTACTGTAAAGTACTTGAAACGTCGGTAATTTAAAATAAGTACGCGATAAAATCCGTAAAAGCCAGTTTCAATTAAATATTATTTATAATCTACGTTTAATAAAAAAAGTTTGTAAAGTTTGTGTGTGCGGTTGCAGGGCTACGACACGGTGCTGGAGGCGGGCAGCGCGGCGCTGTCGGGCGGGCAGAAGCAGCGCGTGGCCATCGCGCGCGCGCTGCTGCGGCGCCCGCGCGTGCTGCTGCTGGACGAGGCCACCTCGGCGCTCGACGCCGCCAGCGAGAAGGTAACCAGGACGATACTCCTTTACACTTTATCACTGCCGTAACAACCTTGAGGACTCTTAGGCCCGTATTAATAAACGTTACTCAGCTCACATACACGCACTTGAGTACAATCTTGAGGTTATGATCTTATTAGTAAACATGTCTCAAAATGCGGTTTAGGTTTACGATATCAGCTGAGTGCCACACTAATTAATAAACGAAACTCAACTCTCAAGTGTGTGTACGTGAGTGCAATTCTTTTTCTACAAAAAAAAATTCACAGAACAGTATTCCTAAGTACAGCGTTTCGAGATACTGTTTTATGTGATTATTAACTGCCTCGTTGGTCTAGTGGTTGTAGTAGTGCGACTGGTGATCATGAGGTCCCGGGTTCGAATCCCGGGTCGGGCCAAAAAAAAAATCAGTTATTGAGTTTTTCCATCAAGAAATTCTCAGTAGCTGCCCGGAGTCAGGAATCCGGCGGTGTTTCACCCCCGTGCCTCGGAAAGCACGTAAAGCCGTTGGTCCTGCGCCTGATCTCTCTCCGGTCGTGTCGGTTTACCGTCCCATCGGACTATGAGAGTGAGGGAATAGAGAGTGCACCTGTGCTTGCGCATACACTTGGGCACTATAATCCTGTCCTGCGCAGATGGCTAGTCTCCGCTGAGACTGGCCGCCGTGACCGAAATTCGGTCTGGAGGACATTATTATTATTAATTAACAACGATCTTGAGATGCTGATATCGTAATGAGAACGTATCAAATGATTACACACTTGAGTTCGTCGTTGAGTAACCTTTATTAATATGGGCCTTAGTCCTCAAGTTCGACGACGCATAATATGCATTTTGATTAGTTGAGGATAGATGTAGATGTTTATGGGCCACAGCCTTCATTTACAATCAGGTGGGTTGTGCTCGTTTGTCACCATACTCTTTAAAAAAAATCATTATCCATTCGTCATTCATTGCAGCCTGTTAAACATCTACTACTTAACGTAGGCCTCCACCATAAATTGCCTTATAATAGCATATTTGCTTTAGTTGGCAATGCTTGGCAAGTGGGTTGGCAATCAACTGCGGTTGCCTTACCGCTAATTATTATTTTGCGTTGTTATCAGGAAGATGCTGCTGCCCATCTGCTCTTTCAATTCCCTCTAACGCTTCTTACGATGCTCACGGGATGATAATATGGGCTAGTGGATTCGTTTAGACCGCCATTACACGGTGAAATATAATTAAACACGCGAACCATCAAGACAGTTGTAAGAAAGTAAAAATAAAGTTTTATGAGAAATACGTTTTATTACAATATTTTTTCAAAAAACTACACCAGCGTCTGTACAAAATTCCTTGCGTCTGAATTAATTTCTAAAACACGTTCTCTAGTTCGCTTTAGACATTTCTACGACAAGGAAAACACTTTCAGCTGACTTTTGAAGTGAAAATTTCTTTAGAATCGTTGTGATTTGAAACTCGATGAAATGAAAAAGTGACACTAAAAAGAGACAAACATATGTACATCTATAGGATTTAGCCTGCGAGAGAATAAGACAGATTACAATAAACAATGTTTCCTTCGCGTTTGAACGGCACACGTTTTTATTTTAAAAAAGAAATTATTATTTTAGGGAATAAAAAGAATCAGGGTTGTAAGGTGGAGTGGTGGAGAGGGTATTTACAATTCAATAATTTCATGATTGACCTATTGAGGTATTCCAACTAGGATCATTACAGCTTATGATCAAAGGCTTTGATTCAAAACGTACCGTTTAAGTGTTTTAAAGTGTAATACAATGTTTGTTGCAATCAAAGACATCTATGTAAGCACTAGACCGGCAATTCAGAACAAAAAGTAGTCTGTGTCAAATCTGTGGATCGATCAGGAGTATTTTTCAGGCAAATACCAAAGAGTAACAACTTATATTACAATATATATTTATTTATCTTAAATAAACTTCAAATCACGTTGAAAAACTGCGTGCTTAAATAATAAAAGCGTTTTGTTTAGTCACAACAACGTTCTCGGTTTACAAACGGTTACAAACTAGTCTTTAACGAGTTACGGAGAATTGAGCGTAACTTAATGCGCAATGTAATACTGTAGAGTAATGTAAGTACTGTAGAGACCGTAGTACACATAGAAATCTTTGTAGCAGAACATAGGAGGTAAGCTGGGCACTGACCTCTCGAGGAGGTCAACAGACAGCGACCTCACTTCCCGGGCGAGGGACAGGATGCACGCCAGCCCCCTCGTGTATACTTATGCATTATTAAAGCCACAAAGTCCATCTAGTAATATATATATATTAAAGTATTTGGTTGACACGTGGTTGTGTGCGCAGTCGGTGCAGAGTGCGCTGGAGGCGGCGGCGCAGGGCCGCACCACCGTCATCATCGCGCACCGCCTCGCCACCGTGCGCCACGCTCACACCATCTGCCTGCTAGATAAAGGTACGTGCACCGTACAACTTCACACCAACAATGAACCATCTAAACATTTAATAGTGCTACTTAATTTTTGAGCTATTTATAAAAGTTTTCTAACTGCCTCGTTTGTTGATTGGTCGTAAACGCGGTTACTGATTATGACGTCCTGGGTTCGATTCTCGGGTCAGTCCAAAATCAGTTGTTAAGTTTTTCTGTCAAAACGTTCTCAGTAGCAGCCTAGAGTCAGGAAGTTGGCGGTTTTTTGTCATCCCCGTACCTCGGAAAGTACGTAAAGTCGTTGGTCCCGCTACTAATCTCTCTCCGGTTGTGTCGGTTACCGTGACAGTGCGGGAATAAAGAGTGCACCTGTGCTTGCGCATACACTCGTGCACTATAATCCTGTCCTGCACAGATGGCTAGTTTCCGTTGAGACTGGCCGCCGTGCCTGAAATTCGGTCCGAATGACATTATATGTTTTCTAAAATTAAAATTCCATTTGCCAAGTGCTGGTAGCGTAAATTCATCATCTATTCTTGAGCTGTAGACATTGATCAGTGGAACGTCAGTAAAATCTCGTGGTCACCAATCGGTAGATGGTTAAACAATTTTACAGAATGTACGCCGAATTTCGGTCACAGCGTTCAGTCGTAACGGAACACAGATGCACACTCTATTACTTTACTCTCATATTCCGATTACACGGCAATCTGGCACGACCGGAGATCAACTCCGGCGCAAGACCAACGGCTTTAGATACACTCCGAGGCACGGGGGTGAAACACCGACAACTACCTGATTACGAGCTGCTATTCATATTATTTTAATTTCCTGACAGAAAGCCCATTAACTGATTTTGGCTCGACTCGGGATCCGAACCAGCGACCTCAAAGATATCAGTCGCGTTTACGACCACTAGATTAAAGAGACAATCAATAATAGTAATACATAACTATACTGTATATTATTGTACTCACATGCCTTAAGATCCTATATTCGCCTCTTATGGGAAAAACAGTGTGTCAGTGGGCTGTCGCAGACGAAGAAGATAAGAAATAGATTGTTTTGGTTCAGGTGTGGTGGCGGAGTGTGGATCCCACGAGGAGTTGGTGCGTCGACGCGGTCGCTACTGGGAGCTGCTGCAGCAGCAGTCTCACGCGGAGCCCGGCGCTGCGCCCTCACCCAACTGAACACCTGGGCACCTGGGCAACCCTTGCCGAGCACTTTCCGATGCTTTTGTCGACGGAAGCTACTTAATTACTTCTTTCGTTGTCGATAGTGAAGAAAAATGAAGTAAGAAGAGAACAGTTACGTGGATGTTCTATTTTAAATAACATTTCGTAAATGAGATAGGTTCGTCGTGCTGTAGCATTCATTCTATGTTCTACGAGCATAAATTTATTCAAATTGTTGAGGTATTACGTTCAGAATTTGTCTTCTTGATTGTCAAACCGTGCCATTGTCGTTTTTAGATACTATAATTATAATAAAATGCACGTACGTGATGCAAAAGTGCCTTTAAACATTTTATATTAAGACAAAATGTGATAAATATTGTGCTTTTCGTTATGTTTAGCTGTCTGGTAATATTGAACACAGTTTCATTATACTGGAAACTGACCCACGCTCATATAGTTACGTATTTATACTTTAGATCTCAGATTATAGAAAAAAGTTCTGTCATCTGCGCTTAACATAACTTGTATATAATATAAGTGATTTGAGCTTTGTTTAAATTAAGTGTTACATAATAATTGTAATTTTATGACTGTGATTGTGATAGTAATAAATTAGAATGTAAGTAGATTTACCTGAGGGAGCTCCGTGCGGTCCACTATTTTTTTACCTAACAATATAAATGTGCTAATACATTAAGATGTGAAATTTTTATATTTTCCACCGAACATCTCATTATTTTACATAATACTATAGTTTTAAAAGCAGTTTCTTCACTATATTTTTTATTTCCTACTTATAATTTCTTATTCTAAGAGTTATCATATACCTAGCTCATCGATTTTCTAGTTCTTGACCCAGTGGACCATTTCTACAGCTCCTACTCATTTCTTAACGTAAATCTTGTTCGCACAATAGGTGGCATGTTCTTAAATAAAAAAATCTACTACGACCTTAATGTACTGGACATGCGACTTGAGATCACGTTTCTAAGCAATTATTGTCAAATTTACACATAAATATATAAATTCTTAAATATGTCATGTGTATCATAAGTCGGTAAGCAGACAAAACTAAATTATACCAGTGACCGGTGTACAAGTTATTACCAACCGGCAATTCCACTCTAGGTGGAACTACACCGCATTAAGGCGGGGTGGGGCACGTAGGGTTGCTAACTCTACTATATAATGAAGAATAGTAGTATATGTAACAAAACCGGGTGGTTTCCGTTAAGTACTTCAGCATAATTCGTATTGAAACGAGTAGAAATAACTATATTTAAGTAAACTTAAACTTAAAAAAATAAAATTTAATTTAAATAAAATTTAATTTGCTAATTGTACGTGGGTGGGCTACTTCTGAATTGGCCAGGGAGTAAGAGTATAATTAATGATCCCCCTTTAAAGATGCGCTGCGCTTGTCGGTTAATTCAGATGTAAATAACATTTTTTCATAATGTTGAATTTAATTAGTTGTTCATTTTTAACACTAAACCCCTTTAATAACGACCAAAAATTAAATTTCCTAGATGGATTTTAATACGGTTTTCATTATTTTTTAATGGAATCTTAGTTATATCCGAGATTTTAGTGAATACCTAATATGTGAATATTTTATATTAGATTTACGGAGAAATGACATTTTGTAATCAAACCGAAGTGAGGGAACATCACATTGGTAAATCACATCCATGCAAAATCAAGTTGTGTCACTATTATAAAGCACAAAGAAATGAAAAATTATTGGTCTTTTTGATTCTATGAAAAACAAATAAAAATTTAATAATATGAGCTAAGTAGTAAAATAATAATAAGAAAAATAAAGTTTACAAATATACTCGTGTAAAACACTGGCGCTAGGCTCATAATAATAACATTATCTAGTTCAAAAAGTTGGCAACCATACGCGCACCTGTGTACCAAGTGATCCTAATTTAATTTGCAGTCAATTATCATTACGCTAATACTAATACTTTAAATTATTTTGTTAAATCTTCACAACTCAACGTTGTACATGGATATTGTGATACATTTTAGTTGTAAATTTATTTAAATAAATAATATTGATGACTATAAGATAATTTTATTCAAATTATCCTTAAAAGAATGAAAGTTAACTACAAACTCCTAGTAGATGGTAAGTGACGATGAAGCCCCAGATGATTAATCGCACTGTCTTAGCGTAACAAAAGCATTTTCACTCTTGGCCAAACCAAGACATCATATTTTTAGGGACAACAAGTATGTAACAATTATATCTAATTATACTGCTTTTCTGTACGCGTTCCGAAAGAAGAAGCAAACCGTTTGGTGCGAATTCACATTCACATTCAATTCACATCGACATCAAAAGTGAATAAGGCGTGACGACCGCTAGTTGTCCAATTTTCGAAACGGGGGGGAAGAATTAAGGCATGTAATATCCGCGATCTCTAACTGCATTAGGGTGATGGATTTTCTTTCGTTAATAACAATAATACGAAACAAACTCTTGAAACTCATTTATTTATACATTTCATTACATTTTTAACTTGCAAAGCGTGCTACAATATTATAATGTGCAAATTAAAAAAAAATGATCATAGAAATAAAATCATTCTGAGCTCTGTCTGAGCTACAGACAATAATATGATCTTAATGGACGTCACACAATAAAACATTTATTATTGCACCGATTACAATAACAACATTACCTATATCTCGCTGGCTTGTGAAATGTCGAAAGCAAATTGTAAAATGCCTCGCCATTTTGTAATAGTCTATGTGGTAGTCCGATCGTTGGAGTTGGACAGATTGTAATCTGCCGACGACATATACACAACGACATATTCTTTAAATATTTAAAGGATACAAAAATATCGAATGGACGAGAAAGACATTATAATTTTATAATTAAATTATGAAATTTAACACCTTATGAGAACAACAATTGGCATTTTGCTTATACAAGCGACTAAATTACAAGTTAAATTACAATAAAGTTAAATTACAACAAGTTTGTACTTAAGCTATAAGGCAAATGGAAGGCCTCAAGTTTCAAAAGTGCTAGGCTAGTCTAACATATAGAGGATACTCCTTCTTTGAATAATGCATGAGCTACTTCTTATTGAGCCTACATTACAGTCTATTTAAAATGTAACAAGAATGTCACTCAGCTAGTGTCTAGCTGACACAGCCTTTGTTTAATATATATAAGACAATAATAATCCTACAAAATGTCGAATTTTTCATAGTTTTGTTGCTGCAAAATGAGATCTGTCACATACAGGGTTATTTGTCAAAGACTATCCAAATTTAATAATTTAGTTCAAAATATAAATACTGATATACACTTTTGCAATTATTAAAAATACGCGTAAATAAGGTTCCTACATTTATTTGAAAATATTCGAAATTGAATGTGATTTATTGACCAACTAAAGCATACGCGCGCTCATTTGTGTACGAGTCAATGCACGGAGCTTTTGCCAACTATTTACTTCTTTAATGACACGCTCGATACTATGATTCTAATTTTCCCTTCATACTTTAAACATGCTTAGGTACGTCATAATAAATAAAATATTTTTTTTTACATTTTAAAGACGTGTGGGATGCAAATAAAAAGTCCGGCACTCCTCGAATTCAATATATTTTTGAATCCCACACAAAAGACAGTTCGAAATACAAGTTAACTACAGAGCCAAGAAAAGAAATGTAGAATAAATGTAAACAATTAGTTGTAGAAAAAATAGTTGAGCTAGGGTGTCGGCGCGCGCCCCTGAGGCGATACACGGGGTAGTTTAACACCTCACTACCCCGTGCAGGAGACGAGGCCCGGACGGACCGGGCCAGCATTAGTGTGGGGCTGCGGAAGAATTTGGATTCCCGCGGCCCCACGCGCACGTGTGAAGAGACACCGGGGTGGTTTTAGCCGGTAAGAGTCCGGCACGCCCCTCCGCCTTTCCCCAGGCGGAGGTAGTCCATGAGGATTTCCCCCCGTAAAAAAAAAAAAAAGGAAGCCAATGATAGGTTGGCGCGTTTGAATAACGGTTACTCAGGCGGCGCGAGCGTAGCGTCTAAGGTTGCGCTTAAAAGCGGACTGGCCGGTTTAAATGAAGGCGACCGGACGGCTACGAAGCGAATAGTGCCAAGTATTGCCGACCTCAGCCGACACGAATATCGCGTCGGCACGTATGCCGTTCTATTGAACGTGCGTTAATTCCTTGTCTTTGCAGGCGCACTAAACACTCACTTTCGTATAATCTTTGCGCACCACGTCAACTTTCATTACTTAAAATATAATATCGCCACATTTCATAGTATCCGTGGTTCGAATATTTTCGTTACGTCATTGGTAACGAAGCGTACGTAATGAGGTCATGGTCAACACTGTCAGCTGTCCGCCAGGCGAGCGGACGTATGTACTTAGCAGTGTAACGGTAAATAGAAGGAAAGCGCGGGGGAGATGCGTGACAAGGCGCCTTACCGAGCGACCCTTACGAATGTGTGCGTGCGTAGTATAATAGTAGGCGTTACATATTTATAAATGAAATCTGTTGAAAAAATGTTATGAATGAAATGAAAATCAGTTACAATAATGCGTTATCACGAATTTAAAAGATAAAAATGACAAAAATTTGAGACTTTTTTAATATTTTTTTTTCACCATTTGCCTACTTATTCTGAACCTACTCTGCGAATTTGTCCGGTTATTGCAAAATAACCTTGTATAAGTAATTTTAATCATATTATTGCTATTTACTTCTTTTTAAAATTAAATTACTATAATAACGGTCGTGTAGTTTCGGATTTGTTTACGAACACAGGGCGATCGCCCTCATACAATATCATAATCACATAGCATTACAATACAGATCGGTCCAGCGACTGATCCGAGTCTGTATCCAAATTGTCGCTGTCACCGAGAAATACTGTTGTAATATATCTGTGTGTTTGAAATTGTTATTTTAATGTTTTGATTGTTATGTATGAGTTTCGCAATGACAGACGATTGTTATTGTGGCCGCAAATTTCCCCCCACAAAATATTATACAGTTCTGTATATGCGAAAAACGCTATGGCTACTCCCCTCCGGTCCGCCGGTGGCCTCTGTTGCTCTATTTATAGGGCATTATTAATCATGTACAGACAGTTTGCAAAATGGCAATATGATAAAAACTATTGAAATAATTAAATTTTCCGTGATATATATATATATATAGGTTAGGTTAGGTTATGACCAGACAAACAACAACAAACTAACAGTGGTAGAGCCACACGACAGCTTCTATTGTTGCATGAATGGGACGGCTCGAACCGAGGAAGTACCACGACCTCACAGAATACCAGCGTGAAGTAAAAGTTTTGCTTCTGCGTTTCGCTCGGTTAGTGCCACCTGCACACCTGCAGGTGGCCGAAGGCCCGACCCCAATAACATGGTAGCGGAATTTAAATATAAAAGACTACCCCAGGAGGGTAACAGCACTCCTGGTAATGGAGAATGCTTCACTGAGCATCCACGGCCAACCTATCCTGAACGTGGTCAACATCTGAGGACTTCACTCAAACCTTAACGCCGTCTACTACCATCTGGAGACGGCGAAGCCAGCCTTGCTCTTTTTGACCGAGTCGCAGGTGTCCTCTCCAGCTGATACCTCGTGCATTCTAACATGTGCACATTCTATTCTCCATGTTCCGTTACTCCCCGTGCAGTGAGACGCTGGAACGAGTTACCTAGCAATACATTACACACCAGCAAGGCATCGTTCAAATGTTTGGTCACGCTGTAGAAGTAATTTGTGGTTTTTCCACTCTAATATAGACTTCACCTTCCTACTTTTCCTTTTCATGTTTTTGTTTGCTTTAGAAATTGCTATATTTATGTATGTACATGCATGTATAATGTCGTATAATATAACTTAATAACATATACTTACATGTAAGTTATTATAATTAATATGCATTTAAAATTTGACGTAAATATATTTTACGTACTAGATATTTGCACTTTGCACCCATAATATTATATTATTTGCTTGCTCTGGAGGTAGACCGGTAGAGAATGCCTCGTGGCATTAAGTTCGCCTTTTTGTACTATGTGAGCAAATAAAGCTTAAATAAATAAGTAAATGACAGTTAAAATCTATTTCCATTTTCAAACATCAGTATAAAATTTGGTCCAATTTAGCCATAAATCTTATTACTTTTTGGAGGTCAGCAACTCGTATTACAGTTGGACAAATACTATTACTATCAATAAATTTAAGCTTATAGTAAATACTAAATCAGAACTATCCTAAATAAATAACTTAGTATATTATATAAAAGTAAATAATATGTAATAAAATTGACGTCTATACTAACATCAAACCCTAGCTTAGATTCCGATCTTGTTTTTTTTTTTTATAGAAATGAACTCGCAGTCCAGTTGATGGTAAGTGGCTACTGCAGTCCATGGTCACCTGCAACCAGCTTCAAACAGGCTACAGATGCGGTGTCAGGACTAAGATAGAACGCCTCACAGCCTGTAGTTACACCGGCTCTTTATACCCCTCAGGCCGGATCACAGCAGCGCAGGCACGTTTGAGGGGTACAGAGAGTATTGATTATTTGCTTGAATTTGGTCGCAAGCATCAGGTGAACTGTAAGTTTGAACTCAAGCTACACTAAAATATGAGCGAAATCTTAGTAATATACTAAAAGCCTATACGAGGAAGTATTTATGTGATTATTAAATTAATTTAGTAATAGTATAAACATTCTCTTATAGAAATGAGCAATAGTATTCGTAAAAATAATAATTTTAAAACAAATAATCAATGAATTCTATCAATTGGTTCGAAACATCTTTTCATTGATTTCTTATCAAAGGCACGTCATCACCACTCTCATCGTTGTCGTCTTGCTCCGTTCCATCGTCATCACAGTCGTCATCAGAATCCGTCCCGTATATAGCGGCCATTAGCAGCGTCTGCGCGGGCGCCAGGAACACTGAAGGCAGCCGCGCTATCCCCGATGACATGCATGCTGTATTCATCTCCCAGCCTGGCATATACAGCCACGGGCAACTTAATGATGTACTAATAATTTTAATGAAAACTAAACAATCTAAAGTACCTATTCCGCGAGAGTTGATAAATATTATAGAAAGCGCCTCGCAATAGCGACTATCGCTTAAGTATCGCAATCTGTGAGACGGGTATCGGTTATTGTCGCAAGCCAAAGACTTCACTAGACGTGCAATTCAGAACAAAAACTGTGTCAAAGCTGTAGACCGCACGGACGGGTAGCTGCCACGGTAAATATATGCCGTATATTACTGTATCTAAGCAATCTATACATATAATAAAACTGTAAATAGCAGATGTCTGTACATTTTATATTTTTGTAATAAAAGTGATTGAGGGGTACTAAAAATAAGTAATTAAATACATTTCTACCATTTTTAGAATTTTCTGTCTGTCTGTCTGTCTGTCTGTCTGTTTGTTTGTTAACGTATTACGTATAAAGTACTAATTTATATCATAAGAATTGTTAAGGAAATTATAAAGTGCATCTTCGGGTTACATTTAGTCTTTATTTCATTAAAATCAGTTCATTCCATCAAAAGTTATGATAAATATTCTGAAGTATGGGTAGGGAAGTATAGGTACGAATTTGCTCAACGGTGGCTTTGTTTGAGTCATCAAGTGCATTTTAAGCTAATATCATATCATAAATCATAGTTAAATTATGTAAAATAATGATATAATTACGTATATCTAAAACGCAGTAAACAAAAGTATTAAAGAACGTATTAAATATATTATACAAAAATATATTAACCTTATTAACTAAATCTGAAGCACAATAGTTAACCCATTTCTTCGATAGATGGTGGTGTTTTTATTTTTAAACAAAACGTTAAGAAAATCATAAAGCGTATCTTCGAGTTACATTTAATCTTTGTTTTATTAAAATTGGTTAATTCTATCGAAAGTAATGATTATTATTTTGAAATGTAGGTTCGAATTTGTTCAATGGCGCCATAAAATCTCAGAAATAGTAATAAAAAGATTTGTGTGTAAAAAAAACGTTCCATAATAATTAATATATTTATACTTAAAACACAAAAAGAGATTTAAAAAGGATGTTTTCTCACACAAAGGACGTAATAGATGCAGTTGTACAAATTACAAACTTTTCTGAATTGCTGTGTTGAGATTTTTCGCCGATGAATCGTATTGAGACTTACTGAAGAAATTTGTATCCATCGAAGCTATACAACGGAACCCGACCAAAAATAATATTTTGCAACGAATTGTCGTGATATTGTATTTATAATATAAGCAAAATCAGTACTGCCATTTTAGCGCTTTGGGAACTAGATTTAGCGCTTTTTTGGAATGTATAGCGCGCATTTCGAAATTTTAGCACCTAGCTTAATCCAGCGCTTTTTGGTGTATTTAGCACACATTTCAATATTTTAGCGACTAGCGGGTTATTAACTCTTTTATAGCAGCGCTGTTAGTCTACATTACCGATAATAATAATAATGACCTTTATTATTTTTTCCCACAAATAGTACATTGCAGTTTATCTTTTTCAAACATATTTTTTCCACAAAACAAAGAGCATGGGAGACGAGTCCAAACTAGGATACCCTGTGCTATGGATCTCCTGGCTTCCCCTTTAGGATGATCAACTTGATTTTTTTACCGACGACTATAAGCGGGGAAATCCCCTTTATTAAAGTTTTCGTTCATGGTTTTGGCAACGCATTTATTTTGCTTTATTCAGTTTCAGTCAGTTGCTTAGAGCACAGCTAAGTTAAAAGTTACTTAGAAGTTATAACACAAAGAAACTGTGTAGCAACCGCAATCAGATGCTGACATCTGAAACTAAGTTGCGAAATACATTGCACTTTAAAACAATTAATGACATTTTTATTGTTCGTACAGTACTAACTACTGTTGACAGCAATTGCCATAATTATAAGTCGATGTCCTGCGAAGTATTGATACATCAAAAAAATATTGCCAGAAAAAAAACTTAATGTTGTTTTCTTTATTATGATTATATAAAAAAACACAAATTTGTTTGTAGTTAATTTAGCGCGAAATCTAGGGCTTTTTTAAAGCGCTGTTTTCATGAAATCTAGCGCTTTTTGTGTTGTCCTAGAGCTGAATGAGTTTTTTTTTATCTGGCAGTACTGCCCGAAAACCCTCTATTAAGAAGTAAGTAACTTTCCTTTCAGTTTTAAGCGCGTTCAGTTCCCAGTTACAGTGAGTGTGTGTTATGCGATGACCGTAAATAAAGCGCAAAATCAAACTTTACGCGTTGTAGGAGTGTACCTCAGTACTGACTGTTTTGCACATGGCCAACTCTATGTTGCTTTTTCCCGCGTTAGTAGCCCCCGTAACCTTTTTGTGTACACCCCGGCTAAGCCTACTTCTAACGTCGTTTACACAGAAGCTCTATCATAAACGACTTAGAACTTTGATGATATTGATTTATTTAGTTACCACTTATTGATACAGTAATCAAATAAATCGTTTAATATTCTCTTACCTAAACGACAAATTCTTTATGTAAAACCTGTATACGCGAGCTACGCCGCGGGCACAGCTAGTACGAAATAAAACTAATTCCCAAATAGCTTTCTTAGATGTTTTAGTCATTCGAATTCCTAACAATGGAGTTATTAGGATTTCTCCATTCTCGCAAAAGAACACAGATTACTACCAAGGATGATTCGCGAATATTACTGGGTGCTACCACATGCTTGGAATCCCATAATTAATAAAATTAAGTCCAAACCCAAGCACACTACTGCAAGACTTCAAGATACCTTAAGCTCGTTCTGCGTAGATCGGAACAAAAATTAATAATTAAAAGTTTAAGGTATCCTTCGTTAACTATAACATCGTGGTGCGAGGCTCGCAGCTGTTGTTAAATGCAACGCCCGGCGGACCAGGCGACGCGGCGGCCATCTATTAACAAAAATAATTAACGGGCCGCAATTTGTAATGGGTTTACGACCTCTGCTTTTTTATTAACTCTCGCCGAACAGACTATATACTAATATCTATGCTAATAATATAGTTTGTGAAGCTGTTTACTTGTTTGTCATTCGATTACTAATAAATCAAATTTCCACATAATTTAGTAAAGAATTTTTGGTTTTTTTTTTAATTGGCGGTCTCACATCCTAAAGATGGTTGCAAGTCTTTCAAATTTCATAGAGAATAAGGTATGTAAGATGAAACATGCAGGGAGTCGATATGTGAAGCTGGCTCATGGCCGTTCTATGTGACAATGTATGAAGTATAATTTTTATTTAATATTGATTACAAGTAATTCTTATTGAAAGTCATTTTTTACGTTACCATTGGTTTGGATTTTCCCATAAGGGGAGCTGCTGCTATTTACCATAATTGCCACGCGTAGTAAACGAATTAACAAAACAGTTTTTAATTATCTTGAGTGCTTAATCGGAATATGTTATTGCACATCTCCTGTTGCATTTCTCTCTGCCTCCTCTTAAGACATGCACAGGATAATATGGACTAGTGGATATTCTTACACCGTCACTACACGGTTTAATAATTATAAATAGATACTGAAAGGAATAACAAACAAAAGAAGAAGTTTAAGAAAGACAAGAAAAGGTGTCTTTCTTAAACTTACTGTTTAGTTGTATAAGAACCACCACGACACAGTCTAATGAATGTGTGACTGTAATCTGCAATAACTGACTGTACGTGGTAGAGTCACGCTGCAGCTATATTATGGTTGTAGCATGAATGGATCGGCTCAACTGGGGTAGGACCACGCTCTCACAGAATACCAGCGTAAAATAGCAGCTTAATATTTCTGTGTTTCGTATGGTGAACATAGAGAACATGATGAGAACAGGTGACATTCAATCTTAGTCCTCTGGGGTGACAACGCACCTGCATTTTGATTCTTAATCGAAGATGTCTATGGGCCACAGTATTAACCTAGAATCAGGTGGACTGTGTGCTCGTTTGTCACCTTTAACTTATAAAAAAATCAAAAATAACATGCCGACTGACCGAGACCCAGCGCCTTGGGCACTGCAGCGAGCGCGAGCGCGCGGCTCTCATGACGCCGCAGCAGACCGAAGCGCGCGTACAGCGCGCAGCCCGCCGCCAGCAGCCACACACTGCTCACCTCTGCACACGCACACACCAACACGTGCTACAGCCAACTAGCTATACTATGCTTGCAGCACGAGTGGGTGAGCCATTCGTGTTACAACCATATCGCGGCCTGCAATATTTAGCAGCTATATTATAGCTGTAGCACGCATGCGTCGGCTCGACTGGGGACCACGATCACACAGACAGAATAAAAGCGTAAAATGGCAGATTAAAACTGCTGAGTTTCGTCCAGTTTGGAGAACCGGATACTCTTATTGGAAACAAGACATTCCATCTTAGTCGTCAGGGGTAGCAACGCATCTGCATTTTGATTCCTAATCGGGGATAGACTTAGATGCCTATGGGCCACTGCATCCACTTACCATAACGTGGACAGTGTGCTCGCTTTTCATCCTTATTCCGTACAGATAGCCTTACCATTTTATAGAAAATATCCTGCGGCTTACCTGACGGAAAGTGTCGACGCCACCAACGAACAACTGCACAATTTGGGAACTATTTATTTATTTTCCACGCTTCGCAGGTGGGTTGGCAACCGCAGTTCTTAAAGACGTTGCTGACCATCTCCTAATTTACTTCCATCTGTCACCTCTTACGGCACCCACGGCACGATATCGGATAGTGAATGCTCTAACGCCGCCACGGCGTGGCTCAGAGATATTTACCAAACGACAATTTGTAATTTTCAAGTCAGGCAGGTTTTACTGTCTCCAACACTGCATCCTAGCCAACCTCCAATTTTAGCGCATACACGATAGTGATATCGGGCACGGTTTCAATTAGAAAACGTCTATGTTTTCGCATTCACTTTGGCTTAGTGAATAGTTTCTGCCTCTTCATTCAATTCATAGTACAATCTGGCGTATCATAAGGGTCACATTTGGGACCCATTCTGTTTCTAGCGTTCATAAATGTCATATTTGCAATATTTTATTGTGCAGATGATTTCAAAAAAATTAAATACTAATGAATTACACCAAAAGTTACACTTTAATAATATTGCTTGTTATAATTCTTTACATTGCTAGTATCTTCTCATAGTACACGCAATTGAGAATATGATTGATAATGCCTAGACGCGAGGCGTTGATAAGTTATTATCATTTAGAAGATTTCCGGGCGTCGTTTAGTCAATTTTGTAGAAATTTTAATCAGTCGAATTTTGTAAGAGAAAATATAAGAATACTTGATGACGATTTCGTAAATTTATCCACAGGTATAATTAGTCCAAAGCTACGGTTGTCTTTTCCAGATAGTACCGACACAGCACTCAATAGATGTGTTAAAAACTTATTCTGCAAATGTCTTACCGCCCGCACTTCCTCTAAAGGACAGCATTACATTTTACATATAAATCAAAGGTTTACTTTTGTAATTCTTACCTAAAAACAACGTAGCCATCACATCACCAACATACAAGCTACCCTCTGCGTCCCTCAGAAGCGCACAGCACTCGATATATAGCAGCACCAGCGCTGACAACTGGCTGGTGTTGTGGTCAGTGCGGCGACACGGCCGGCAGCAGCCAGCCACGAACGGTACCAGCGTGCTCAGCACCGTCCACAGCACTATGCGCAGCGGGGGCAGAGTCATATGTCCGCACTAAACGTTCAAAAAAATTTAATAGAAAAGTCATAGAAAAACGTAACAAACGTAGTCAAATTCCATATGAGAAATGAGAATACCTTTTAATAACTATGTAGATTTTAAATATTGTAATATGTGAAATGTATCACAGCAGTTGGTTTTCCGAATGAAATGAACAAATAAAGAATTCACTTAATTAGACATTTTTTAGTAATATCCTCTACTGCCTTGGAACCACTCTATGCTTTTTCAGAGCTGTTAAAGTAGATGACGTGATGAAATTGTTTACGTTTGAATGAAGAAAAGGAAACGTTAAAAACAAATAGAATTAAGAACTAGGTCGATACATTGAATTATATTTATTGATGAATAAATAAAATAATGTGTTATTGATAGAGAATAGACTAAAATAATCTTAAATATAACCTTCTCCTTCAGACCTCAAAAGTCCACTACTGGCCATGGGCCGGTGGCCGTTCTCGTTGTAGGGAGAATTTGCCTTAATTGTTACATTTGGAAGGCGGATTGAGTCCTAAATACATAAAAATAACATTTTATGTTTATAAAAGCTACACAGCAGCATAAAAGCGTAAATTGAACTGCTGACATTAACAGCACTGGATTTACGTAAGTTATTGCTCTGAGCCACCACTGTTCGAAACGTTTTCAAACAGTAACGCTCGTCTCGCACCTATATCCTCCGTGAATAAAGATGTTTTTTTTTTTAATTTTTTAACCGCAAAGATAAATATTTGTTAATTCAGTCATGCCCGGAATTTGGATCATCAATAAAGAGACACGAGCACCGTGTTAATTTATACTATAAGTACAGAACAGTAAGTGAACTAACGAAAAACAGCAGCGAGAGGGGAGTAGCGACCAAGGAGAGTACGTAGTTGAGCGCGACCAGGGCTGGAGCAACTGGTGCAGAGCTGCGGGCCAGAGCCAGTGCCAGCCAACCGCAAGGCCCGCGAGACCGAGTCACCAGTGCGCTGCAAATAACGAACATACAATTACTACTAGCGTACGTGAGGGTAATATGGTCTTCCGATTAATATGGTCACTTTCTTATAACTCAAAAACTACAGCCTTGTTTGCATAGGCCATCTATATATAGTGATAGAATAGCTCTTCATCAGTCTAAAAGGTTAAAAGGGCGCTGCTTTATCGACGCCAGTTTGACAGTTGACAGTATAGTACGTAAATATGGTCTTAAACTGTTTTTAAGTTTATTTGTCAAAGTGTTCCTAATTATGGCCATAACTTGTTTGCTACTCGTATTAATTATTGCTTTATTAATACAAGGTATCTACGGGAAACAGAAACAGAAACAGAAACAGAAACTTTTTTATTCAATATAGATTATAAATAATACTTATTGAAAGTCATTCTTTTGTTTGATTACCACTGGTTCGGAAAAAACCTCTGTCCTGGGAAGAACCAGCAAGAAACCCAGCGGGACTTTTTTTTTAAATAACAGCTTACAATCATGATGTTACACAAATTAACAACACAACAAATTAGAAATAGCTTGGTAGCGATCACCTCATTTCCAGGGGTTATTATCATCCATAAATTCCTTAATATTATAATAACCCTTTTTATACAAACTTAGTTTAATAAAGTTTTTGAACTTTGAACAGGCCAAACTTTGTATATTTTCTGGAATTTTGTTGTAAAAGCGTATACATCGCCCCAAGAATGAATTACTGACTCGATGGAGTCGAGTAACTGGTACTACTAGCTTGTGTCTGTTCCTAGTATTTACAGAATGAATATCACTTATTTTTATAAAACTACTTTTATTTTTGTGTACGTACATTAAATTTTCATAAATGTATTGAGAGGCCAAAGTTAATATATTAATTTCCTTAAATTTTTGTCGCAGCGACTCTTTAGGCTTTAAATCATAAATTGCTCTTATGGCCCTCTTCTGCAAAACAAATATAATTTCTGTGTCAGCTGCGTGTCCCCATAGCAAAATACCATACGACATTATGCTATGGAAGTAGCTGAAGTAAACTAGTCTAGCTGTTTCAACACTGGTTAGACTTCTAATCTTTTTTACAGCATATGCTGCAGAACTAAGTCTGCTTGCTAGTTTTGATATATGGGGGCTCCATTGAAGCTTCGCGTCTAGTGTGATTCCAAGAAAAATGGTGGTATCTACAAGACTCAGTTTCTCCCCATTTAAAATTACATTAGTATTTAATTGTTTGACATTTGGAGTCACGAATTTCATACATTTTGTTTTAGTGCCATTTAAATGCAAATTATTAACATCGAACCAATTTACTAATTTAGATATAGCATTATTTACTTCGTCATATTTTAGTAACTGTCGACTTAATTTGAAAATTAAAGAAGTGTCATCTGCAAATAATACTATATCATGGTTATCCCCTACTATGTAAGGTAAGTCATTAATGTATACAAGAAACAGAAAGGGGCCGAGAATTGAGCCTTGAGGCACGCCCATTTGTACCATCGATCCGGAAGAGCTCATATTGTTAATGACAACTTTTTGCGTTCTCTTACTTAAATATGAAATAATTAATTTAAGGGCATCACTTCTTACACCGTAGTGTTGAAGTTTCCTGATTAATGTTTCATGGTGAACACAATCGAAGGCCTTGGATAGGTCACAAAATATACCCAAAGCATCCTGTGAATTCTCCCATGCATTAAAGATATATTTAATCAGCTCAACACCGGCATCAGTTGTCGAGCGACCCCTTGTGAAACCAAATTGATTTTTATGAAGTAAATTATTTATATTAAAAAAATTTAACATTTGATCAAGAACAATTTTTTCAAAAATCTTACTAAGTGTTGGTAGTACAGAAATAGGTCTAAAATTGGCGGGGTCTAATGTACTACCAGATTTAAATAAAGGTATTACTTTACTATGCTTCATTAAATCAGGAAACACACCAGATTCGATACTAGTATTAAAAATAATAGCTAAATGAGGCGCGATTGTATCTATTATAGACGCAATAACTTTAACGGAAATCCCCCACAGATCCGCAGTTTTCTTAACATCAATAGTTTTAAAATATTTTACAATATCTTTTGATGTCACTTTATGAAATGTAAAATTCTTTGTACACACATTTACATTATGTTTAAGTAATGATTCGGCGACGGCAGGAGAAGAATTTAGTGACTTAGTGGTCAAGATCGGAATAAGGCCTAGATAAGGGAAAATCGAAAATGAAATCAGAAATATCTAATATGTTCTACAGATTTTAATAAAACCATTAGTTTAGTAGTTTCTATAAAGTATCAACGAATAATTGTAACATTTGCCATAAAGAAAAACAAAATTTAACATTTCTAAAAATCTTGCTAGTAGGTCTTATTTTACTACGGTAAGGTAATAAGGCATACTGCTTTAAAGAATTCAAATAATCAATTTATACGTAATATATTCAATATTTGTGATCAATAATCACATGAGTGCACCAATTAAGACTTAAAATTCTAAATATATATAGATATAAATTGTCTCGACTAATAGTACTTAAAGTCATTAGTATAATGATGAACAAACTGACAAGAAAACTCACTCCTCGTGTTTGTCATCAGTGCGTCGGTTGTGTCTCGAGTTGAGTGTTAGGTTGAGTTGAGAATTGGGCTTAACGTTGCGTTGAGTGTACTCCCAACCAAAGTTCTGTCATAGCGGCAAGTCTCAACGGAGACTTGCCCATCGGCACAGTACAGAATTATAGTATCCGAATGTATGTGCAAGCACAGGTGCACTATAATAGATAGGCAAGGGAACACCCTCACAATCATCAAATCGCAATCCGACACGGTCCGAGAGAGCTTAGGCGCACGACCATTAATTTACACATAATTTATTAGCTTCTAATGTCAAAGCCTTAATTCTTAGACAAAGTTTGTCTTTGCACTGTTTGGACAATTGAAACCAGGCCTTTTTCTGATTACATTAGTTTAATAATAAAAGCATACGATTTACTTGCATTTATAACATTTTCAAAGTGACATAAAATTCATAATAATACAAAAAAAAAACTACACAATAAAAAGGAGTATAATAAGGCCTATGGTAAAATTTAGTAGGCCTAACCGCCGCCAAAGTATTTAAGAAAAACTAAATTTAAAAAAAAATTGACCACGATACGTTACTCAAATCTTCAAGATCAACAAAGCATTTATTCATAAAGATAAAGATTACGATTTTAGATAGCCAAGTGTAATATTACAAAACATAATATCTACGCTTTATTTGGACTGGTTTTTATTATTGGTGCAGTGCGGTCTTATCTTATTATAGATAATGCAACTCTGGTGGCAGGACGCGGGGTAGCGCGTCTCTGCAAACTTGTCGAGACATCGCCGTGCAATAGGAGTCTGTTATTATCTCCTTATGCGAGTGCGGTTATTAAAAATACGATTTTTGTTACTTAGGCATTATTAGCCGATAGGCCTTATTACCCGCAGGCACCTTATTGGTTAAAGTATACGACTTTGTATTTTTGCTTCAGTCTTCTCCTAGTTTTGGTTTCCATCACTATCATCATTACAGCCCTTCACAAGTCCACAACATAGGCCTCCCCCAAGGAATGCCACAAAGCACGGTCCTGAGCCACCTGCATCCATCGACTTCCTGCATGTCCTCGCGAACCTTTTTTCCCCAACGGTTATCGGTTCTTCTAGCTATATGGCCGGCCCATTGCTACTTCACCTTACTAATCCCTTGGGCTATGTCGGTCACTCTGGTTCTACAGCGGAAATCCTCATTTCTAAGTTTATCACGCAGAGAAACCCCGAGCATATCCCTCTTCATAGCTCGCTGAGCGACCTTGAGCTTCCTCATACGGCCGGCAGTGAAGGGCCATGTTTCAGTTCTATATGATATCACTGGCAACACGCACTGGTTATACAGTCACGTTTTCAAGTTTTGAGGTATACCTAACGAGATGTGCCGTAATTTCTCGAACGCTGCCCAGCCGAGTTGAATCCGTCGATTGACCTCTCGGTCGAAGTTGGACTTACCTAGTCGGACTATTTGTCTCAGCTAGACATACTCGTCAACAGCTTCGAGCTTAGTGCTCCCAACAATTACCGGTATAGGTGTGAAATGGACATTATACATGATCTTTGTTTTGTCCATGTTCATCTTAAGACCTATCCATTGGGAGGCACTTTTGAGGTTATTGAGCATAGTGCTTAGGTCCTTCAGCGATTCTGCCATAAGGACTATATCGTCGGCAAATCGAAGGTGAGTGATGTACTCGCCATTGGTGTTAATACCGTATCCTTTCCAGTCCAGAAACTTGAAAACGTCTTCCAATGCAGCGGTGAAGAGTTTCGGGGATATAACGTCACCCTGTCTTACACCTCTCTGTATTTGGATAGGTTTCGTACTCTGGTTCTGTACTCGGATAGCCATCGTAGCCCCACTGTACAAACACTTCAGTACTTCGATATACCGACAGTTCACTTGGCACCGCTGGAGGGACTGCAGCACCGCCCAAATTTCGACGGAATCAAAGGCTTTCTCATAATCCACAAATGCAAGACATAGTAGCAAATTGTACTCCTCGGTCATCTGTACAATTTGCCGAAGGGTATGTATGTGGTCTATGGTGCTAAAGCCCTTTCGGGAACCTACTTGTGCTTGTCGACTCTGCGTGCGTGACGATTCGTAATGACGAACAAACCACCGCACTTCTGCTCCACGCCTTCGGAGTAGTGCCACCATGAATGCCAAAATTAAAGAGCTTCTGAAGGACTTGAAATACCGGTTTTCCACCCACTTTCAGAAGTTCCGCTGTAATTGTATCCTTGCCCGGGGACTGACAGTTTTTAAGATGCTGGATAGCCATTCTAATTTCGCTCAGACTGACGTCCGGGTTATCATCGAAATTGTGTCAGACTTGAGTGTGGCTCCAACGATGATGTGTACAGCTACCTATAGAACCTCTCAATCTCACTCAAAATCTCAGGTCCCGGAAACGATGCTGCCACATTCAGTCTTCAGCTTCGACAGTTGGCTTTTTATGGCGGACAGATCTCTGGCAAAGACTTTGGAGTCCTGGTTCCGCTCGATCGCTTGCTAGCAGTATTAAAGTTAAGTAAGACCCGCCGCATGGATTTGGAGGTCTGATTTGTTCAGTTGCCTGTATACTGTCAAATCTACCGAAAACTGCAGCTTCATTGCGCGTCTAACAGCCATGAGATTAAGAGTGTAATCGGAGAATTTTTGTGTTCTTCTGCGGCGGGTCTTGCCAAACTTAGCTCCGACCGCATGGACAGTTTCCACAAGCTTTTCATTCATATCGTCCACTGCATTGCAATCTTCTAGGCACTGTAAACAGTTTTGTAATTCGAACTGAAAGGTTTCGGGACTTCGATTAGAGCACGAGGGGGAGGGAGCGTTCATTAGACGACACCCCTCCAACTTAACGTTTAGGTTCAGTGTGTAACTAATTCTCTACTATTCGGTGATCGCTACCAGTTTTCACCCCCGCAATCACTGAGACATCATTGAACAGTTGCCGTCTAGTCGTCATAATGAATTCAATCTCATTTTTTGTCGAACCATCGGGGCTCGACCAGGTCCACTTTCTGTGGACCAGGTTTGGTTTTATAGGGCAGCAAAACGTAACGTCACCATACTACCCTCAAGTACCTTACTGTATTTCATTAATTCATCCACACTCTATCAAAAGTCCACAATTGATCATAAGCCTCCCCCATAGATTGCCTCATAGAAAGGATTTTGCCATAGTTACCACGCTTCGCAGGCAAGTTGGCAGGCGCATTTTTTAAAATACTAGAATGCCCCGTATCGTTCCGTAGGTGTAGTAAAAGGTGACAGAGGGACACTGAGATAGATGGGCAGCTGTATCTTCCTAATAACCACTCAAAATAAATTAATAAACGCGGTTACCAACCCGCTTACCAACCGTGGCAATTATGGTAAAATTCTTCTTATGAAGCTATCTTTGGGGGAGTCCTATGTTCAGCAGTGGACTTTTTGTAGGCTGTAATGGTAATGATTTCAAAGGTTGTGAAGTCCTTGGGCTATCGGGCAAGCTTACCCCTGCAACAGTCGCGAGTCGAGGCGTATATCGCGCAGAGCGAGTGCGGCGGCGGCGTAGAGAGCGGGCGCGGCGGCGTGCGCGTGCAGCGCGGCCAGTGCTGGAAGCCGCGGGCGGACACCCCGCAGCCCCTGCAACCCACCCGCCCCCAACCCCGCACCCGCCCGCCGACCCCCCGCGTAGTAGATGTACCACAGCGGCGCGTACCGCAGCGCCTCCGTACGCAGCGCTAGCCCCTCTCTCCCTGCAGGACGTGCCTCCGCATATTTATTCAGATTTCTGTGTATAATACTAGACGACCACGGGCACTAACAAATATTGACGGCTCCGTGGCGCAGTAGCTTAACAATGAGTTGCAGCGCTAAGGACCGCGAGTTCGAACCCGGAACCCGCACGTAACAAGTGTTTGTATCGCCTACAAATAATTAGTCCGGGTCTGGATGTTTGTCTTTATGAAATTTATGTACGTAATTTGCCCCCACGATACAGGACAAAATCCTAGTGTGGAGGTTACGTTTATAAAAAAAAACATACATTGCGCACTAAGTTACGCTCATTTCTCCGTAACTTCTTTAGTCGAATGTGAGCGGCCGAGACCCGAGAAGACTAGCTTTTGTTTTGTAAACCGCAAACGTTATTTTCGACAATCTAACACTGACTTTGTTTAATGTGACTAAGAAAACGCCGTCATTATTTATGAGCACACTTTGTCAACGTGTTTTTAATTTTATTTCAGATAAGTACATATGTAATTCTATAAAATGTAACTTATTTCGTATTTGCCTAAAAACAGTAACTGTCGTAAATGAAAATACAACTTTACCGTACAAGCTACCCGTCCAGCCGACGAAGCGGCACACTGAAAGTTCGGCGCCTGGCCGTTCATAAATGTTTAAATTTCGAATGATATATTTTTTTTAACTTATGAACCTCTTATGATTAAAATATTTTTGGCGGGAAGTGGCGTGTAAATTGTTTTTTATCACAAGTTTAGTTCGTCACCCGACGTAAAAACGGGATTAAAGGGAAAAGATTTTAGGGCAACAAATTTTTATCATTTTTAAGTTCTCTCTCTCCGCAAGATTGCACTGCTCGTCTCCGAAATACTTTTGGGAGAGAAGCACTTCATTTAGGCACCGTAAAACGTGGCTGTATTTCCCCCCATTATGAAATTCGTAAAGATCAACCCTCAATTGCGATCACTGAGGAAAATATGACTACTGTCAGGCGACTAATTGAAGAAAACAGAGTCTACTAGAGTGGTGACGGGGATAGTGCACGCAATTAATAGAGGGCGGGAGATGTTTTTCAAATTAGGTAAGACACATTATTTTATTTTATTGAGCGGATATTGGCAAAGTAAATTTTTCCAACTTTAATGTAATGTATTTCCGCAAAGTAACGCCTGATTCCGACTGCAAACAAACAAAATTGAGGCAGGCAAGATAAACGAGGGGGAAAAAGTATTTCATTTTTCTCCCAGACGGGTCCTGTCTGCACGATCCCACGGGATAAGCAAAAGACAGTTGATGATGAGTGGTACACCACGATTTTTTAGTCAGGTGTCTTTGAAAAAGCTAGGGAAAAGAAACAAGACATCACATCTTAATACATCATGACAATATTTCGGCGCACACCGCGAACTAGACAGTTATTTTTTACTTCTGAAAATGTGGAGCTCGTGACCCATTCCGCACATAGTCCAAACCTTCCAACCTTTATTTTGCCAAAAAGAAAGATTTAATGAAACAAGTTCGACAATTACGGAGCCAGAAGAGACCGTGGAAAACTTACCCTCACACCAAAGGTCCTTATGCTATTAAAAATAGTTTAAACGAATGTGTTTGAAATGTAATGCGGAATACTTTGGAAATCAGTAAATTAGTTTACACATAAATTGTTTTATTTGTGAGTTACGCAAAAGTTTCAGGCTATCCTCGTAATGGGTCGACTCGATCAGGGAAGAACCACGCTCTCACAGAATATCAGCATGCTAATGTACGCTTAATGTCAAACACAGCAGTGTTTCGTTTGGTGAGTGTAGAACCGGAGACTCTTTTTACTTCAACGCATCTACATTTGAGTCTTATGACGCCCATTACACGCCTAGGCAAGCGTCAATCAGTTCGATCAATCATGATTGATGTTTGAATGATGGAATAATGTCGACATTACACTCTCATGCTGACTGATGTCAGTCAAAACCAAATTTTTAGAGGGAAAGGATGGATATTCATAAGAAAGGCCTGTGCTTCAATTTTTATTGCAATTTTGTGTAAAAAAATGTATAAGAAGAAGGCGCTGGGTAAAATACTGGCTTTAAAGGGATCTATACCCATATTAACTTATTGACTGACATACGGCTTTCAAAAGAGGATAAAGACTATACAAATTATTTTCGCATGAAAGATGCTTGTTTTGACAAGTGACTGGTCTTGGTAACACCATATTTAAAAAATTACTACTTTTGGTAGCGATGTTTGGTAAATAATACACATACCTACCTATAATTAAGTTCATTTTCGATTCACCATTTAACTGGAATTTTATATCTTGAAAAGAAAAAGAAAAGAAATGGATAGGAAAAATTGTAATATTTAATATCATTTTACCTATTTTAATTTATGGCGCGGCTGGAGCGCGCGCCAATGTTCGACCTCTCGGAGCGCATAATAGATACGCGTCTTTATTTGAAAAATAAGCTTCCTTTTTATATTTATTCGTATACCCGGGGTTTTGCGTGTCCCACAACTCGGGGAGAGCCTCAAAATTTAAAATAAAATCTTTTTCTGGCTTAAGCACGTTTGGCGGGAGTGGCGACAGGCTGCGCGAGCGCGTGGAAGCCACCTCTTCAATATATTCTGCATCCGCCTCCATTGTTGTCTTAGCGTTGACTGACGCGTGATTGACGAAATGCCATTACACGTTCAATCAAAATTCGTGACTGATAGTTGATTGACGTAAAAATCAAAATATCCAGATATTTGTCAGTCAATTTCATGCAACCGTCAATCACCGCATTACACGGTAGGTTATTCGTCAGTCACAACCGTGATTGATGTAAAAGTGACAGCAAAACCTACTGTGTAATGGGCGTCTATAGGTATTACCAGACCAATCGATCGATCGTCGATTGATGGCATCGATCGATGGTGGAATGGATTAGTCGAAGTCGATCGATAGTTTCTACCACACCGATCGATCGATGGTAAAATGGATTGGTGGACGTCGACCGAGCTGCTTGATTATTCGAGAACCCACCGACCGCATTTTGAAAGATACTTATGATCAGCCCATAAACACATCGATTAACTCTTGATCGATGATTGAACAACGTTTTATCGACCCGTATCAGTCGATCAGCTAAAGCTATCATACCAATCGATCGATTGGTGTGGATAGATAGGTGGACTGTGCGCTCGTTTGTCACCTATTCTATAAAAAAAATTACCAATACGCAGCCTTATACATTCTCGAATCTCGACGTCTGTTACTAGCTGGCAAAACTCATTTCCTGTCTAAGAATCTGTTTGCGTAGGCACCACCCTCCTACCTATGTTTAAGGCCAAACAGCAGTGCAACTGAGCGGTATAGATAGCCAATACAGACTGCGAGGCATTCCACCTCAGTCCTCAGAGGTGACAACGCATCTGAGGCTTCCTTTGTTTTAAATTGGTTGCAGGCGTCAAATGACTGCAGTAGCCACCCAGCATCAGGTGAATAACTTCGTTTGTCACTTTAATTATATGAAAAATTATCTAGGCAGTACATCATAATATATAAGCTAGCACAGCTACAATGCAACTTGCGCACAAATATACTAGTTGCCTATCTAGCTGTGTCACACACAAATATATATTTAACTAAGTTTAGCCAAAAGACATCTAGATACCGTAGTCTCTTGGCCTTCAGTTACCTACAACTACTTGTGCTACTTTACAATATGATTGAATTGTGCTTACATTTTTGATACATTGGTTTTGCTTATCGTTTATATAACATGACTGTAATTCACACGCTGAGAAAAGCACATTATGTTGTCTAAGTTTTTACTCTAATATCTGATCTACAATGAATTTTATGTCAATGGGAAAATGAAATAATGACAATTCCAGTAATTTTACTAGAAACATGCATAGAACAAGACTCAAAATCAATGCAATATTATTGCCAAGAACAAGGTTGAGAAGAATTATTTAAAATTGGTCATCTAGAAGTTGCTTTATAATACAATGGAAACTCGTTAACTCGAATTCCAAGGGAAATGCTAAAAATTTCGAATTAATGAGTTTTTTACTCAAGAATTTCGAGATTTTTTTCCCAAACATAGCTATACAAACATAATATCATGGTACACAGATGTGTTATTTTAAAAAAACGTAATGAATGTAAGATAAAATTCATTCATTGCACGTGTACAATGTAAACCTAATAGAACAGAAGCAACAAACATTCCTTTTTGGATTTTATTAGTATGAGTTTGGGGAATTCCAATTCATTGTATTTTACTAACTTATGGAATCTGGTTTTTGAAATTCGAGTTATAGTTATAGAGTATAAATATGTACTATGAATATCTTGCAGGGAAATAAAAGTTTATTTGATTTACAAAGTTTGAACATTTTGCGATGCCGATTAATTAGGAGTTCAGCGGAAAGGAATTGCAATTTATTTCGTCTTACTGATTACGACTTAACGAGGTTCGAGTTATCGAGATTCCACTGTATTACACATTCATTCATTACAGCCTATCAAAACTCCACTGCTGAACAAAGGAAAGAAGTTAGCCTCATCGTAAGTCTGATATTTGCCATAGCTGCTACACTTGGCAAACAGGTTGACAACTGTATTATTATCAAACTTCATAAAATATGTACTGCTGCCCATCTTAATTTCCTTCTGTTGCCTCTTACACAGCAACGAGATGATGTGTGTTAGTTGAATATCCAGAAGCAATTACAACACATACTAATACACTAGTTTACTTTTTTAATTTGTTGTTGTAGGGGACACAATCTAGTGTTTTCAAACAACCAAGATTGATCAAAGTTTAACTGCTCCAGTAACAGTAACACACAAGTGCTTATGCTATAACATATGTATACCTCATCAATTAGTTTATGAGTGAAAAGCAAGCACAACTATCTTCGACAGCTATCAACTAGTATAATTAAGAATCATTAAAAGTTAGAATGCTATAAGCTGACTTATATTTGAGTTACAAAAAGTATCAAAGTTATTTTAACCATGCAAAATAAGTATAAGTTGATATGGC